GCCTCAACATCTATAATACATCTGAATAATGTCTGTGATCAAAATGCATATGGACAGTATACCATGGACTTGCATGGGCCTAGGTGGCAAAATCCCAAATTCCACATCAAGGTAGTACAGGTTAAATTGATTGTGCAATGATGTGAATGGTACTCTGGTAATTTTTACACATTTATTGATTGACAGAGATTTAGAAATGATGTTCATGATGTCTGAGGTTGATAATGAATGACTGGTGAGGTGATGGACACATTGAGAATGGACATCAGATATTGGCAATTGCACCATGTACTTGATCAGCAGGATATCAACTTCATCACATAATTTCATATCATTACCATTGAAAATCATGGGAAGGACAGTCTTATACCCATTTCTCCATGTGATGGATGGGCTTGTTCATGATACCTGTGTTCCAACAATGCTGATGGTGAAATCAAGATGATTTTTGAATGACATTATGGTCATTAAACAATGACAGCAATATGATGGAACTGGAATGGCTTGCAACACAGGATTTAGGGCAGGCTTTTCAGATCATGTGGTGAATAACTCATGCACTACAATGGACAATCTTGGAGCATGACATCAGGCATAAGTGCCTTGCTCAAAGTAGCTTATCATGTACATCAAGTCAGTATCTCTGCCCTTTAGATTACAGTCACAATTTCTGGTAGTCTCACACATGCTTAGAATGTTTGAGACTATATGACCTTGTGTATCAATTGATTTTGTACAACTAACAGTGATGCTCAGGCATGTGTCATCCTGACAGTGATCATCCTTTTGTAATACACAGAATGCATCATGTCATGGAGACACAGGAGTCATCATGCGGAACTATTTCTATCTGAATAATTACATTGTGTCCCCAGATGTGTCCATTCACTTACTTCACAAGTATCTTGAGGGGTGGCATGAGTGACAGTCTGTATGACATCTTTCTTGCTGTCTGTGACAGGTCTGACAACCAAATCTGTGTCACATTGCATGCTTTCTTCATGTATCACAATGTCAGCTCATTCAGCAATCACCTTCAGGTAGTCTTTAAGTGAACTACATGGGCAATGAATATTTGCAGGACACAGAATTATGTAGGAGTCTCACATGTTCTTGCAGCTGTTATACACATCAATTAAATATTAATAATTAGGGAGTATGGCACCATCTGGACAGAGACTACAAGACAATGAGTACAGGCCATCTCCACCACCACAAGCAACTGGCCAGTCACCTTCACTTAAAGTGCCAACACCTGTTACAGCTAAACTGACAGTCAAGGAAATTGCTTGTGAATGCTTAGTTTGCAATAAATCCTACATAGCATTAAACATGTATTTATTCTTCATAACCAAAGCTCATGCAATGGCCAAACTGGTTGTGTGGATGGCTGTTTTAGACACCTGGGCAACCCTTGGGTTGAATGAGTGGCTTGAGGTGATAGTGGCAGACTTTGACTTATCCCACACATGGTATGGGCTGCTTGGCAAATCACGCATGAGATATATTGGTCTGCATGTAGTGAGAGTATCTGCAAATGACATAGAGGATGAAGAAGTAGAGAACTTCCAGAGGAACAATCTCTTGCCTTGCAAGGGGATATGTCTTGTTCTCCCCATCAGATTTGTAGTCCATTATTCCCAACATTTCTTCAGTCATCTTACAATGCAAAGCACATGTCCTTGGTCACTATATTACTGCTAATGACAATGTGATGGATATCAATGACATGGATCTGGACAACTGGAATGAGTAGAATGGACTGGACTATTGGTGGAGAATCGGAGTGCTTCATGGCTGGAAGATAGGGGATGTCACTGATGTATCTGTGATATTTGTGGATTGGGAGCAGATGACTTGCCGGTGTTTCAAATTCAGTGCAGCTTGTCATATGCCATTCTGGACTCTCAACTCTAAATCTGCTTCTCTGGATATCCAGATCCAAGATCTGGATCTCCAATGATATGATCTATCTTTATCTTCCTTCCAGAATCCAAACCTTATATCAGTGCCCAACCCCATTTAGACTTCCCCTGTCTCTAGACTCTGGTTAACTATGTTTTCCTTCTGATTACTGATCTGTTACATAAATTTCATTTCTGGTATTCATTATTAGTAATCTGTCCTACTTACTAATAGCCTTTGTGTTTGCTAACTGATTCCTATATGATACCTACAGTATATAAACCTCCTGTAACTCTTGGAAATACTTCAGTTTGAATATCATCTTAGTTCCTGCTCATTCCTGTGTCCTCTGGACTTGCATTAGTTCTCTTGTCATCATCCAAGTCTTAGGATTGTATCTAAGACTATATCTCCGGCTCTACCTTAGGGTAGTCTATACTCTGTCAGTTTCTAGTCCAGACTTCATCCAGATTAGCCTTACCTCCTTGTTCAATCAACATCTGGACATCCACTGGACTTATCTCACATTTCATACCCAGACATCCATTGTCTGCCCTAGTTAAAACCCAGAAACTCTGGACAACTATTCAGCCCCCAGAAATTAAGGGGACATACTCAGGAAAGGGGCACAGCATACAAGCTGAGGCCAAGCCCTTGTGATCTGACCCCCTTGAGCATGTGACCTTAACACAGCTACAGACTGTGGATTCACATGCTGCATATAATCACTGGGTGTATCAAGATTTGCTGTAGTGACTACCTGATGCTTCTTGACAGCTCACTGGATGATTAGTGACAGGATGATATACTAGATGAAGATATCATCAATGCAATTAAAATGGGCGTCATCAGTCTGAATGCCTAAAACTCCTGTGAAAATTGACCATAGTGAGTGTAACCTACTCCAAATGTTAATGTCTAATGGTTTATTAGGATAGTAACAACCCCCCAGTGATGATGAGGAGTCCCTGGGCATGGCCCTGCCTGTAGACAGAAATGTGAAGCTTGCAAAGCTTTTTAAAGCAAGCAGGCTACTGACTGGTATAGGGATTTCATATTCTGTGGGCTTGTATAGGCAGATATTACTTAGTGTTATGTTCGCACTTTTGGTGCTTATGTAATCATCATAGTTTTCACCATCTACCAGTACCAGTCTAAGACTGAGAGTTATTAGCATGATTTCCTATCCTCTCTGAGCACTGAGCTTAGTCCAGAAACCCTTTAGGGTTGAATAGCAGCTAGGCATAGCACATTTAGCCCAACATTAGAAATCTACTTTCCAGTTCTCATCTTGTTGTGTTTCCCACACTGGATCTCGAAATTGCAATGCTATAGTCTCCCATGCCATTGGCACACACCTTCAACTGGAGCTGGACATGCTACCTAATATTGAGGCTACCAATGACTCACAATGCTTTGTATCTGCTTCAGCATCTCACAGGAAGGTAAAAGACTGGCATCTCAGAAGCAACAAACAATTTCCACATCCCATTGCACCACCTGCCCTTACTGCATATGCAGGTAGGAGGTGGCTCCAGGACAGTCACACATTCAATGATTATGATGGCAGACCAATAATTGAAATGTTAATCACTCCAAGAGATATTAATCCAGTGATGACATTCCAAGCTAGTGGAATTCAGATCTCTACTGTCTGGGTGGACTGGGTTGACCACAGGTACCACATTACCCCTGGCTCATTTCACATATTCTATCAATATGACCCCATAGCCACCATGGATCATATTATGCCAATTGGCACAACTGACTCCTATGATCCTTCAAATCAGGTTCCAGATTGAGTGACAGGTGCATACAGCCTAAACCAGCTAGGGTCAGAGGAGGGGGGACACCACACACAGATCACAGATGTAGAAATACTGTCTGCTTCTGAACTCATCATTTCTGCTCAACATGATCCCCTGCTATATGATAAATGCAGGTTTGGACATAATGCATTCGTGTGTGGCCACACTAGTTATTGTTTTGGTAATGGCCTTTCATTGTATATTGACCTAGAACAAGATGCTGTCAGATTCTCAGAAGATAAGATAGAGACTTTGGTTGACATAGACAGTATCATTTGGACCACAAAGGTCTTTTGATGCAAGGGGTCTGTGGGAATTTATCTTACTCCACCATTTCAAATGAAACCTGGTATATTCAAGCACAATCACACATATGTCAACATCATGATTCCACAGTCAGAAGCCAATGCTGGTGCACCTGGTGGTAGGACTGAATGGCTGTCCAAAAGATTTCCAATATCTGCCATCCCTCACACCTGTATCGAGCACATATCCTCAGCTTCATTGACCCTTAATCTGTATATTGCATTCCCAAGGACAATTCATCAACACCTAGTGAATGGGCAAAGAATCACACTGATGCCAAAGGACATTCTCAATATCTTCTGGGATAGAGTGCTACTTCCATCAATAGGAGATTGTACTGATGTGAGTTGGGCATCTTACTTTAAACAGACATTGGAGGAGGCATGATATAAGGCCAGAGGTGGATATGGGTACAAAGGTGAATAGGGACCCCCTAAGACAATACCCCTGTCCGATGATGACTTCAAGGATGTCCAGAAACACATGGAAGCTTACATATGCAATGGGGAAGGCAAGCTGAGCATGTTTGGGTTGCTATTCTTTATTTTAGAAGGAAAGAGCATCAAGCTGCTCATGAAGGATGGTCAGAGAGGGTGCTTCTCAGGACCAGAAGAGGCACTGTATCAAAACCTGTCCAACCTTGACTGGCTATATATGATGAACTGAAAACACAGTGAACTGCTGGTGAATGTCGGGATCTCATTCACACCTCACTCTCAAGATATTCTGGTCATTGGAGTGTGGAGATTGGATGCATTGGAAGCCTCATTTGGAGCAGGAGGCTATAAGAAAGGGAATATGCATCATCACAACACACTCTTGATATGGGACAATCCAGGCTGAGATACAGCAGGAGAGATCACAGCAGACACACATTGCATTCAGGAGCATGTACAACCTATACTATGAGGCAATCTGATCAAACACCAACCAAGCACATTTTGCATCTGACAGTGATGCATATAAGCTATCCCCCCCCACATGGCTGAATGTTTTGAAATCACCAAGGTGGTCAATGGATGCAAGGAGAAAACATATGGTGTTAGAGATGAGTATAGGGTCACTGGACATGTGGCTAGAATAATGCTGGATAATATTGATATGAAGGTTAGTAATCCACATAATATGCATTATTGACATGTGAGCTAAATGTTCCTGGTAATAATTGGCATGCAGGCTAGAGAATATCTGCAGTTGGATCCAATCCTGTGGATCCCATCCAAGATCTGGTTCAAGCTAATCAGGTGACAGGTGCAGGAGATTCAGAGAACACAGATATCTATCGTCAAGAAGAATCCTCCAAATCTTGGCATACTGACTGGCTTGCTGAATCACATGCTTCACTCTACTACATCAACCCCTATCATTTACAACTTTCATGTCCACAAATCCCTTGCCCTCCTTGAATATAGAAATGTCCTTGAGACAGCAGGGATATTTTTCTTACCAGACTTTGATCTTGACAGTGACACTTGCCTGGATGAGGTATAGCAAATTGATGATGTGAATGTGCTGGCCCTCATGGGCATCAATGCAAAGGCTCAATGGGATAGAGTGGTAGGACAGATGGATGCATGGCAAGGCCATGAGTCAGAACTGGAGGACTGTCCCCTTGGTTGGACACCTATATGGATGCAACTCAGGACAGCCATTGCACACTTACCTGCAATGATCATGAGACCATGGACATGGTTGCCCAAATTATTCAATGGTCTACTTTCTGTTGGGCATTTGATCATGATATTCACAAGGCACATGTGGCTGATGCTCATGCCTGAAGTATTTAAAGGCATCAGACTCTGCCCAAATTCACTTCAGGAGGCCATGAAGTGATAGATGATTACTAGCATTGATGACACCCTCACTGCAGTAGTATTTGAAGCATACAATTCTGGGCTGCATAACAGTATGGGTGTAACTCCAGGTTGCATGAGTCCTAGGTTGAGAACATTTGTGGACAGGTGCTTACTATTCTTTCCTGACCCTGATGCATCACATAAAAATAACACTCAGTGGTCTACACTATGGGAGGGAGATGAGTATATCATGGAGTTTCACAGGATGATGAAGTTGATGGAAGTGGATCAGCAGGCAGTGCTGAAGCAAGGGTTGTGTGAGGTGTTTTCTGACCTGCATCTCCCTGCAAGTGGCATAAGAATGTGGATGCAGAAGCATGATACCATAGTATTCACAACAAATCCTGCATTTTACAGGATTGACTGTGTTGGACAGGGGGTGGAGAGTCAGAGAAAGGCTCCAAAAGCATGTCGCACAATGAAGCTGATCAGGGGAAAGTGTATCTTTGCAGCTGACCTGATGGACTCACAACTATTCAACACTGATGAGAATTTAAGAAGGAAAACAGAGAGGCAAAAGTGTTGGGAGATTCAAAAGAAAATGACCATGGTGAAGAGAAACAAGTGAGTTCCTCCTTCCCCACATCATTGGAAATCCAGGCCATTTCCAATGGACACAACAGCATCTGTGGAGCAAGATGAGGAAATGGATGTTGATTAGCTTACAGATGCCCCATATATAGTGAGCACCTGATGGGGCATATTGGAACCAGCATTAATAGTAAATGGCCAATCTATTGTATAAGAATAGTCATTCCCAACTGTGTTGGGCCAAGTGAGCAGAAAGCTTCTTTCTTGACATTTGTTAAGGTCGTATTCAAGGGATAACTGGATCTGAAGGGCTTTGGCCTCAGCTCGTGTGCTGTGCCCCTTACCTGAGTATTGCCCCTTATTTCAGGAAGGCAAGACTAACATGTCCGGAAGGTCGGACAAGTATCATAATGGATCCAGATGACTTCCAGATGCGGGATAGGTATCATAGGGCTAATCCAGACGAGTCCAGACTAGAAACTAATGGTAATAGACTGTCAGAGACAGAGGCAGATACAGATAGACTATAGGAATCAATCCTAAGTCTCAGAGGGTGACAAGAGTGGAGATACTCAAGTCCAGAGGATGGGAATAAGTAGAACTAAGATGATATTTGAACTGAGGTACTACAGAAAGTTACAGGAGGTTATATACTATAGGTATCTAACGGAATGATCAATCAGCAGAGTCTGAGGCTATGTATGAAGCATGTGGATAGTCTATTGGTAAGTAGAAATGGATCACAAATCATGAAATGGAAATGAAACATAGGTAATGGATCAGGGAGCAGGATGGATATACAGATAACCAAAACACCAGAGTTAGGGGGTTACTGAAAGGAGATGAGCACTGGTTGTGGATTCAGATGAGTTGTGGACTGGACCAGATGAGTGGACAGATTGAATGATGAGATGTTGGAGGGAGATAAGATGTGGATAGGATCAGAGATAAGATGTGGATCTGAGATGAGATAAGGGTCAGATCTGAGATCCGGATATGCGGATATGACAACATTGGTTTCGCCAGATCACTGGTACATGCTCTTGCAACAATATTATGCAAGATCTTCAGTCATCGGAAATCAGCATGGGGTCAGCTGGACAGAATCCCCTACCTGACTGATGGAATGATTTGATATTCAATGCAAAATCAGATCACTCTATCACCATCATCCAAGGATGTCAGTGCAGTTGACACCTTTCTTGATAATGAAAGGATTGTCCAACAAAGTTAATCACAATGTAAGACACCACCCTTTCTTATGAGTGGGGCAATCTGGGCAAAAGAATCTTACCTGATTTGATTCATCTCAAGTGCAGTTCCATGCTCAGGATCGAGCAAGTCAATTTGTTGTCATTGAGATAGTTGATACTTATAGAGTTAGCTATACATAGCTAATGTGCAAGACACTGGACTTCTCATGGATTCAACCCAATGCAATATGACCACTAACCAACATCTTTTTATACTACACTCACTGAGTGATTGGCAAGCTCGTTGAGGTCATCAATATGGTCATGGCTGCATGGTATGCTTTAGGCAGGGTCACAGACCTTTTGCCAATGTCAAACAGCCCTACTAATCAATCCAATTGTTATTGCTGTGGCATGAGAATGTAACATGATGTGAAGTTTATATACTGCCCTTTGGAAAATTTCATTCTTGCTTCCTTACCATAACCTTCACAGATGGTTTCATGCCTCTATGGGCTTTCACCATCAATTATGGTGGCCACCTCCCCCTTCTTAATCCAACTCTTATCATCCATATGCAAACCTTGGACTATGTTGGGTGGTTTCTCATCTCTATGGGCATTCACCATTGATGATGGTGGCCATCTTGCTTCATTGTCACATTCCCACATCTCTCACTAAGTACTTTTTCTTTGTCTTTCTTCATCAGTGAGATTATGAGTGTACTGTAGTATATGTGTAATTGTGTGATTGTCAGCTCTTTGCATAAAGGATGGCACTGGTGTGAATTTTTTATTCAATTAGCAAAAATGTTAGACTTAGTGAAATTTTGCTCATTATGCACTCATCTCCTGTAATTTAATATCATTATCCTATCCATACCTATTCCTGCCTCCCAAAAACACAAGGGCCTGCTAGAGCATGACAGTGATCCTGACTCCAATGAGTCTGATGAGGACAATACTCAAATCAAAGAACTTGTGGAGGAAGAGGAAGCTGACTCTGACAATGATGCTAAAGATGATGAGCTTGAGCAGTTCCTAGCCCACAAAGATCCTTACATCACTTCCAAACCCATCCAAATGGTGAATGTGCAGAGCCAACATCTGTTACAAATGATGCCTAATACATGGGCCATGGCTTGATTGCTTGTTTTGCAGCACCATCTGATTCTGACCCTCTAACAGGTGTCAAAGAGGTCACCTTCATCATGAGCATCACCTATGCAGCTGAGATGAAGAAACCTGCAAGCAAATATACATTGAGGAACCAAACCTGTCCACTGAATCTTGATGAGCCTCAGGACACCATGAAAGCACAGTTTTCTATCAGAATCTCACATGCACTGAACCCTCAACTTCTTAGCCATGAGGATTACAAGGTCTCCTGGCTTATTCCATGTGTCCTCTCCAAACCTGTCCTATCCCTCCTTAACAAGAAAGATTTCAATGTTTTGGTGAAGTAAGCAAAAGATCTGAAAGGCAACAATCCAGCCATTCATGTCACAATTGTTCAGAAGGAGAACCACAAACTCAAGGAAAATGAGGCTGTGATTGAATTGACTGTGAATGAGAAGGGGGAAAAACCAGTAGGTGCAGTTTTTGAGTGTTTTGTATGCATCTGCAATAGCAAGTCATTTATCAAAGAGGTGCCTGTTGCTACACATGGTGATTCATAAAGGCCAAAGATAACCTGACAGCAACACTGGAGAAGCCGCCTTATCATAAGCTCTTTCATATTCGAAAGATCAGTCCTGTTCTTGAGCAACAGCTAGACTCTCACAACACCTTCTACACCAGTCTTCAACTTCACTATTGGAACTGAGGTTCTCCATATTTTTCACTCACAGCAACTGCCTGTGCCTACTGCCACACCAGAAGTATCCTCTGTGTCAGACTCATCTGACTCTGCTTGTGCTACACTCTTGTACCCATCTCATGCTCAAGGGATGGATGTACCACTTGACAAATTCTGCACGGAATATGAGTTCAGCAAAAATATCTGTGTAAATGTCACTGAGAACACATATAAGGAAGCTCAGTCCTTATACATTGTTACAATTGCCAAGTTGAAAGAGATAAGCTTCCAATTGGGCTAGATTGCTGCACTATGTGATGCCATTGAAGGTTCATCTGTCCTATGTGTTTGATACGATACAAAAATGTAATGTTACAGGTCCTTGCCTTAGATTGGACTTCTACACAAATGGATTTCTTTGCAAATAATGGTGCTAATAGCCTGCATATATACTGTATGCTAGATAGTAGTCTTGATGGTGATGGAGTCAGTGTTTTATTTAATTGAATACTCACACCTACAAACACAAAATATAGTAAAGCACACACCAAAACAATCAACAACCTTGTGAACTTCAGCACTGTAATATATTTTCACATTGTCCATTATATGGACACTGAGGGTACCAGGATGGGCTGTACACTTTGGGAGCTGGCAAAGTCTTTTTTGCTACATCAACAGTACATATTTATGTCAAGACTTATGACAGTATTCTCAAGCCACTCTAGAAGCAGCTCCTGGGTCATAGAGCCTTCGACAATGGTGGCAGCAACATGAAGGAACCATTTATTCAACATTTGAACACCCTACATAAATTACATATCATTATAATAGCATTTTTGACCTTGTACCCTAAGGTCTATTAGATCTACCAGAACTCTGAATGTGCAAGGGCATCATCCACCTCTTTCTGTAACTCAGTACACAATGTGACAATGAATGAAACATCTGTCTCTACCTTCATGGCTCTCCTCTCCATGCATAATGCTGTATGGTTGTGATGGAGTACTACTGGATCAATGGTCTTGAGGATTACTGCACTTGTTGCAATGATTTCACCAAGCATCTCCAATACCTTCTTCATTAGTGTGTCAATATATGCCCCATCATCATCAGTCTCCTCCCAGGTTGTGCACTCCTCCATCACCTTGTTCACCTCAAGCTTCTGCACCTTAGCAAGATTAATCATTTTGTGCACAGTAATACAGTTCTGCTACATGATGGCCTTATGCTCTATGTTGCGGTTGCCAATGTTGTTGTCAAAGATAATCATTTTGTCAAGATCAATAGTAACCTGAAAGATGTCATATATGCTGAGTGTCACATTGTGCAAGTACATTCTGACATGCATAATGACCTGTGCCTGGTGCTCATGCACATCCATGCAATCTGCAATGGGTTGTTCTGCAATGACTGATGTAGTTGGCTGAAGTTAGTATAATATGTGAACTGAACACAAGACAGTGCATACCTTCATTAGTTGGCAGTCTCAATGGTCCTGCAGGTCATCCACCAGTGGAAGGCATAATGAAGGATCAAATGGAGTGATGGTTGATAGTTGGCATATGTGGTTGAGATGTAGGCTGTAGAAAGTGTGAAGTGAGGACAGACTTCACCTTATTGATGAGTGACTAAGACAGACTGGTGTTCACAATCACACTGCTCATAGTTAATGTTCACAATTGTTAAATGCAGTGAATGGTAAGCATTTTGTTGTTGAAGATGTATTGGACATGTGATGCACTTCACAGGATTACTAGCAAGATATAGATCCTACTGAGCATTGTATAATGATTGTGGATGATCATCAAATGTACAAATATCATTCACTTCAGACATTATTTATCTATGTTCTGTCTCCTTGACCTATCACTCCATCTCCATCATATTTTGTATATATATGATAGTCACTGCTCATTAGTGTCATGCCACATAACTTCCAATGGGGTATCCTGTGTCATGTGCATGATTTGGTACTACATGATACCATCTCAAAGGCTATATAGTCATCTATGTCAATGAGTGTCTGAATGTTTTCTAACCTCTCCACAACTCCAAGTGTTGGGCCACCTCTCATGCTCTTTAGAACCTGTTGTGCCACCAATCAGTATGAACTCCAGGTTTTTTCTTACTCCTGATTGAGGTCCCCTGCTTATTGGAGGCACTTGGGTGACAGAAGGGAAATGAGAAAGTGAGTGACAAGACAGTCATGCAGATGAGTGGGTACAATTGATATACTTTACTTGAGCTTGTTGGCACATTGAAAATACCTCTTGGAGCAATACACAACATCAAGTGCATGATACACAATCATATATTGCACAACACTTTCACCTACAAGATCTAATGACACTCATCTTAACTTGAATACCTAGCCAAATGACACAAGAATGATGCAGCATAATCATGAAATACAATACAATTGACATTGAACACATTGTATTCAAACATGAATTAATTAATTTAAATCTCACGTACACTATAGTACACTTACAATCTCACAGTGACAAAGGAAAACACTGATACAAAGATATAGAAATGCAACGCCAGCAAAAGGTAGCCATTAACAGTGATACCAAAATAACCAATGGGCAGCAAGATGGCCACCATCATTGACAGTAAATGCCCATAGAGGCGAGAAACCACCTGTGAAGGTAATGGTAAGAAAGAAAGAGCAAAATTTGCCAAAGTGTAATATATCAACTTCACATCACATGACATTCTCATGCCATTCACAGACATGACACGGTCATGTGATGTACTGGGATTCAGGATTGCCACCCAGTGATAATTGATGATTCAGAGGTTCATATGCATAAATAGAAGTCGATAAACATTGAAGTGATGATTCTGATTGAACTGGTTTGTGGTCTCTCAATAAAATGTGACTTGTTAAGACAAAAAATACAGAGTGAGACGAATTTCTACTTCTACAGTGTAGATATGATTCTTGATGGTGTTAGGAGCTTAGATAGGCATTTACATGTGTCAACAGGGTGTAATATAATAGTAAGGTTGCTGTTCCTACTATACTGCCCACTATTCACATGCAAATGCTATTGAGTGTTGAAGAGCTGACATGTAGTAGTAGAAAAACCTAGTCAGTATGACAGTCTATCAAACCAGTAGGCATGACAACACTTGTGTGTGCCATGGCCCATCATTTGTATCCATGGTATAGTGTCCTGAGTCAACATAGGATGTTCTCCATGATGTAGCACATACCTCCTTGGAACTGGTGGATAGATCATTCCAGCAGGGTGTGAATGCACTAGCCAGTACAAAGCACACACATATTTCTATATTTCTATAAAGCAAATTAGAGAATACCATAAAGTTATATCAAATGAGGAAACATACTGGACTGGCATCTATGTTGGCTGTTTCCTGGGCCTTTCCTTTGTTGGTAGGTAGCACTTGTTGGTTCACATTTGGACAATAGGTGAGGCTGGTCACTTTGTCACCTGCAAGTGACTCATTGTAAATGATGTAGTGTAAAAAATGTGTGGTACTAACATCATTCTCTTGATCACAAGAGCTTATACAGGGAATCCTAGAAGCAATGGAGAGTGGTGATGGTGAAGGTGAGTCTGGGGCCCAGAAATGTCTTAATACCACATCAGGCACAAAAGTCATTCCCACACAGTATTGTCTCAGTTGGGGTCACAATAGCATATGTAAAAGAAAGCTAGAGGATGTTCCTTGAGATCCAAAGTCAGTATGACAGTGGGGACACAGCATCTTCTCACTGGCTGGATCATCAAAACCTGAAATAAATGCCCTACATTCATCCAAGTATGTGGGATACCTGTGAAGATATTTGGAATAAAGAAGGTTCAGTAATGCCTCTGCCAGATGTCTTGTGTGTGTCTATGCTAGTTCATGGTAGAAACAACAAATACTTTGAAGTTATTCTTGCAGCTTTGCAACCTGCTCAATAGCACCAACAGTGCAAGTCCCAATTACACCCATGATTTTTGTTATACTAGAGAAGAATCACAGCCTGAGAAAATGCAGGGATAAGTAGATATCAATGTAACATGTATGTGCATGCAAGGCCTGGATGCTGCATTGAGACAAATGATCCATCATAGCAAATCATTGTACAATACATATGCATTCATATGATAGGATTAACTGAGTCATTACTCACACTGTGCTAGTACAGTTCCACATGCTGGCAGCAACCTAGAAATAATTTACCACTTTGCCAAGTTAGCTACACAAGCAAAATGTATTGACAGCATTATAAATGGTTTGATCCCCATAGAAGAGTAATACCAGCAAAAGAGCTCACAAGAGAGAAAATTATAATAGTTTCAGAACTACCTGTTGAACCCTATAGCTAAATACAACCATAGTGCCAGAGAGAACCAGTTACCTTGCATGTGTTTGATCAGCCCAAGGAGGCTCATTGTTAAGAACCATGTTGCTCAAAGGAGAGAGAAACTGACTCAGAGGGGCTTGGCCTCAGCTCATACACTGTGCCCCTTACCCAAGTATGTGCCCTTCATTTCAGAGGAAGTCCAATGATGGTCCAACGAAGTCCAAAGGACTTCCAGAGGCTGGCTACTCTGCTGGAGAGTGCTAGAGGACTTCTGGAGGAGTGCGGGAAATGTCTGGAGGAGCATGGGAGAGTTCCAGAGGAACACAGGAAGTGCTCAGGAGAGTTCCCACTGCAAGGTAATACTTCTACAGGAAACAGGATGGAAGGATAGGAGGTCTGAAGGTCCGGAGGACAGGAGGACAGGAGGACAGGAGGACAGGAGGACAGGAGGACAGGAGGACAGGAGGACAGGATGATGGATGACAGAAGGACAGGATGTCTGAAGGTACAGAGGGCAGGATGTCCAAGGGTTAGGAGGATGGAATGTCCGAAGGTCAGGATGCCGGAGGTACAAGGGACAGGAGGTCCAGAGGTCTGGAAGGAATAGGGGCTATATCAGACTTTGTCCAATGTAGAAGCAAACAGAGGTAGACTACCCTAAGGTAGAGTTGGAGAGAACAGGGATTGGACCTAAGTCCAGAAAGAGGGTAAGTGTCAGAAAGGCAAAGCTCCGGCCTAGGGAATTAATTCCTAGGCTTGATGGGTAGGACAGACTTAGGTGGACCAAAGTCCGAGAGAGGATTGGGCAAGTCTAAGTTGATATTTAAACTAAGGAAACTATAGGAGTATCTACAGGGGTTATATACTGGTGAATACCTGAGGGGATCAATAAGCAAAGGAGCAGGGCTATGTATGAGCATGTGGAAACACATTAGTAAGTAAGATGGAACATAAGTAAATGAACTTGGAGATGAAGACTCGTACAAGGATCAATCAGCAAGACAGAACAGGAGGTAACCAAAAGCCAGAAAGGCAGAGATGCCCAAATGGGGATAGGCGCAGGATATCAGACAGAGGGTGGGAATAGGTCCAGAGTTAATATCTGGAAGTCTGGGGATCCAGAAGACAAGGTGGATACAGGACTGGGATATGAGAAGGTAGATAGAGTCTGGAATCCAAGACAAGGTAAAGTTCAGATGTCTTGCTGGATGGAGTGTACACAGGGTAGATGGGACAGGGGGTTATGGTTCAGGCTAGCAGTGGAGATCTGATGGTCCAGAGCTCAGGGGTAAATCTGGAGTGTAGTTAATCCTGGTGAGGTGTGGAGCACACAGCAGAAGGGATCTGGGAATGAGTTAGATATGAAGTGTGGTCTGGATGTAGGCTCAGAAGGCATGGGAATATGATGGAACGTGGGTCTGGATTGTGGGATATGACACTCATTCTGGGGTGGGGGAGTGAAATTTCTTACATATTCATCTTCATTGGTGTGGATGTCCAAGTGACCTGGGATCCAATATACTGTAACATCAAAGTCAGCATGTTCATTAGCTACCTTTGCATCATGTGCTGGAAGCACTCTGCTATATACAATCCTGGTCTTGTGTGGTAACTGTTGCTATTTGCTTAAGCTTGGACACCTATAGAACACAGTCTAAAATACTGGTAGAGTAAATGTTAATCAGTGTGATCAAATCAGAACCAAAGGAAATTCCAAAATCTAGTGAAGGAGTCCCTGGAAGCATATACCATACCTGCAGAGAGTGCTCAGTCTATTTTGACTGGTCCACCCTCTATTATTCAACTCCAAAGCTGAAACCAGGTGGATACTGTTATTGTTTCTCTTTAGTCTGTTTGAGCATACTCTCCTTGTAAAGCAATAGAATATGGTATCTGTAGACAAGATTCAACAGTCAACTTCACAGGCCTTCAATTCATTCAAGTCAAAGATGATGCATCTAGGATCATACATGCATTAACAGTATGAGGTTGCTTGGCAAAGAAGTCTTAATCTACATGAACAACTGTTTCACCATGTGCATGTACAGTAATCAAAAGGGCAGCAGTACATCATTTCACTAGCATCATGAACACATACAATAAGAGTCCCCATGTGCCATCTCTGAATCTTTCTGGATACTAACAATGATTTGCTCCCAACATTTGCTGTTCTCTTTATTTCTTATCTCCAGTTTTCTTCTCTTGGTAGGATAATGTACCTTGAACTTGCTCAATATGAGTGAGCTCAATGAAATAATTTTGGAGGTCAGTTGAAGGAGGGAAATGATGCCAGAAGAGTTAAGGTGCCACCACCTTGTTTACTCTCTTGAAATGCTTGTTGTTGGCATCAGTCCTAGCAGATACCAACCTCCAATTACATTTTAAGCACCTGAGGTGCACTTTGACATCATGATTGCACATGTGCATGTCAGCAGGGGAGGGCTGGCAACCTGGTATAGGACAGGACTTAAACTCATATCCAAAGGTGCCAAATCTGGGAATCTCTTGTGCAATCTGATGGTAGTCTACAACACAGTGTTCATTGACTGTGCTGATGAATACAATCACTGCAGTGGTATACTCCAAGAATGCATTGAAGAAAGCCATCAATTTGCAAAGCACTAACCAGATGTTAGTGCATCCAAAGATGCTGGTATCCATAACAAGTGAGTGGACTATATTGGACACCATGGCCAGCAAAGTCCCAGATATGCTGAATGCCAGAATGAAATCAATAAAATTGCTGAAAAAAGATGAGTGGGCTGCTGATGTGATGAATAACATATGTACTTCTCCACCAAACCCTTCATGGCCTCAAAGTGGTGACTGACTCTAATAGCAGGGCCACAGCTCGCCATAAACAATCCTCTCCATCCTCTCCTAGCATGAGGAGTTAGGTTGTACCAAGGTGCATTCCCATTCACCATTCTGTTGACAGTCTTATCACTTCTTGCAGCATTGGAAGATAATGCTATTGATTTTAGAAAGTCATGTCCAAGGTACATGGTCAATATTTTGGTGATAGTGGTGTTGGTACCACCAGTGTATTCATTATAATGTATGTCCATGACAAGAAAGGTGTTGGGAGATAAACCAGCTTTGATGTTGTGAGTAATGAATTGTATGCCAGGGGCCAGCTTCTTTGACTCAAATGTATGTGAACAACTGTCGATGAAGTAGGTAAATTATTGGATGCTAAAATCACAGTAGCAATTTGCTGCACTTACATTGTCATTAAAGTTTTGAAAGTGGGTTTTCACCTCCAGAATCACTGATTTGGCCAGGTAGTCATCCTTCATCAACTCCAGGTTCAGGTTAATTAGGTTTATCAACCACATTATCTTTACTTTTTTTTGCCTCCCAAAGCTAATAAACATGTACTGCAAGGGCTTGTCCTTCCTGTCTCCCATTCATGAGCATGTGGGGCACCATAAATGCTTCTCAGCAATCTCCACAGTATTATGGTAGATGCAGCCATTGCTGCACAGAACAAATTGTTCACATATGATAGCCCTACAATCAACACATTCATGTTTGGAGAGAGACTCTGTGTGGTTGCCACAGAAGTGCCAGAAGGTGCCAGTTGTTACCTTCATAGAAAGAGGAATTATGGTGCTCTGGTTGTTCATAAGGTTATTTGCCTTGAGTTGAGGTGATGGATTGCTGGACAATTTGACCATACTGCCAATGTTAATGTTGCCAGGAGCAGATCTTGAGATGCCACTGAAAATTGCACTGACCTTGGCCTTTTTCATGGACAGTCCTGCAGCATCAGCAAATTGTTTAGGACACATATTTGGGTGATGCAACACCAGGAAGTTGATATATTTGAATGGTGATTAATGAAAACAGTTATGATTTTGTGATTGTCATCACTTATACCTCATGTGGACATCCAGCCACACTATCTTTCTGTCTGATCCAAGCTCAGCTCTTTACAGTTGGCCCAAACATACAAGTACACATCACAAATCAAAACTCATACAAGTGTTGATGAAAGATTGACCTCAGCTCCTCTGTGTTCTGAAATTTCAATAAAAAAAACAAGACAGCAGCCCTGATGACAACTCCACCCAAGCCATATGACCTGATACTCTGCCCTCTAAAGGGCAGAGTGAGCACCATCCTGCCTATCACAAGGCTGGCCAATGCCAGAGTTGCCTCCTCATACAAGGAGTAGTGTGGTAGATAGTTGGGACTGCAGAGGAGGGCTCCCAGAACTCAAAGAAGTGACAGTCTACTTAGAAGGACACAACCCAAACAACCCCCAGATCTCATAAAGGTAGCAGTCCACTTGGAAGGACATGCATGGCCTACAACAATTCAAAGATGAAATAGATAGAAGTGCTGCTGGCAGTTAGTTCAAAGAATGCAAAATGAAAGGATGCACAAAGAGTAACAGAGTGCCCTACATTGCATGTCAGCACAAGGTAAAGCAAAGCAAAGTGAGATTACTAGTCTTTTTTCTGGCATCAATGACCTCTGTGTCTTAACAAGAAGATCCAGATCAATCATGATTATTGTTCACCTGTGTGTTCACATCTCCTAGAACCAAGGATTGTAATTTTGATTGCTAGGTCAAGAAACTGTGTCTTGTGCTCACCTGAATATTCAGCACCACCCAGATTCACATTCACTTCATCATTCTCTTGTTCCTGCTTACATTGAGCTTCTCACTCTCTGGCTTTTTTATCCTTGTGTAATCTGGCCAACTTCTCCATCCATCAAAGCATGGCTGCTTTCAACACATCTGTTATGTTTTTGCCCAAGGTGATCTGTGACACAATCCATTTCCAACCAGATTTGTTCTTTTTGATGCTGACTTTGGTCAGTGCTTGCCAGAGAATGTCATCTTTAACATCCCAGGCTTAATTATGCTCCTGCTCATCATGCCTGCAAACATGTCCTTCAAGGACCAACCAAGCCTCAAATGTATTGAACATGTTGGTAGCATCTGGGCCAGATCAATTGGCCATCATGCATGATTGTATATATCATAGCATACCTATTTTTTCAGAAATCTTGTCTGAGGCCTCATGCTACACATAGATTTGCACTCTCATCCACAACTGTTGTGTCACCATTTGTAACCATACCCACTTGGTCCAGAAATATGGCAGCAGCTTCTGACCCTTGTGCCATATTCCTGGTAACCTTGCCCCTTCATACTAATGAGTCTCAGTGTACTTGTCTGGCTTCTTTAAAGCCACAAGTGCTTCTTGTTTCAATATTTGCTCTTTGAGCCCATTGATCTCATCATCAAACCATTCTTGCAGGTTGTCAGGAGGAAACAACAGGCCCTTGCCCTTGGTATTTATGTTCCAATCCTACTCTACATTTACAAGGTAAGAAATGAGACTTGAGAAAAAGTCCTCACTGAAGAATGCCTTGTTTTCTGGCCTGATTTGATCAGCATTGAGGAATTGCACTTCTGTGTAAGTGACCTTTACATACTTACTGTTCAACCAATCCTGGCACCAACAGACTTTCCATTCATCAAGAACACAGATGCTCTTCTACCCAGGCAACCAGTTCATCCACCACAAGTAATCTGGTGAGCATGTGTTGTGCCACCAATGTACTGCAGTTCTCATAGAGAATAATCTCCTTAGCCTTTACCAAGTCCTTTGTTGCATTTTCCTCCTCTACCACCCATATATTTCACATCTGGGTGTGAAGAACTATGCAGTAAGACAATTTAAGCCAAGTGGCCTGGTACCACATTGGCAGGAGTATGTATCCTAAGAGTTTGTTACTTTTCATAGTGGGGACCCAGCAAGTTTGGAAGGTCTCCTTTGATGTATTGTTGATGCCTTTAATCTCATCTAGGACAAGGAATTCAATTGGAGTTTCTGTCCTGTTGAACATGGCTTCCACATTTAATACAGGGATTGCAAAGGATGTGATGGGGTTCTCCAGTAGCACTGTTCCAGCCAGGTGCTTCCTGCTCATTGTCAGCAACATCTTAGAGTTAGCATTCCTCTTTGTATTTTATTATTGCAGCTCACCAAGGTTGGGCTAGATGTTAATCCACTGCTATGCATAGTCCAAAGTATGTACTTAGCAGACTTAAGCATTGCAGGCTAGTGTCACAACTACATGTCTAATATTAGCATCAGGGAAGTTATTGTCAGTGGTGCAATGACAAGCTCTGCTTGCATCACCCAAGTACACAGGCACAGCTTGGTACTTGTCATATGCCATTCTGGACTCTCAACTCTAAATCCGCTTCTCCAGATATCCAGATCCGAGATCCAGATCTCAAATGATCTGATCTATCTTTATCTTCCTTCCAGAATCCAAACCCTATATCAGTGCCCAACCCCATTTAGACTTCCCCTGTCTCCGGACTCTGGTTAACTATGTTTTCCTTCTGATTACTGATCTGTTACATAAATTTCATTTCTGGTATTCATTATTAGTAATCTGTCCTACTTACTAATAGCCTTTGTGTTTGCTAACTGATTCCTATATGATACCTACAGTGTATAAACCTCCTGTAACTCTCAGAAATACTTCAGTTCAAATATCATCTTAGTTCCTGCTCATTCCTGTGTCCTCCAGACTCAAGACAAGTCTCTTGTTATATTCCAAGTCTTAAGATTGCATCCTAGACTACATTTCCAACTCTACCTTAAGGTAGTCTATCCTCTGTTAGTTTCTAGTCCGGACTTCGTCCAGATTAGTCTTATCTGCTTGCCCTAAGTAATATCTAGACATCTGTCAGATTTATCTCATGTTTCAGATCTAGATATCCATTGTCCACCCTAGTCAAATCCCGGAAACTCCAGATGACTGTTCTAGCCCCTGGAAATTAAGGGCACATACTTGGGAAAGGGGCACAGCATACTGAGCTGAGGCCAAGCCCTTGTGATCTGACCCCCTTGAGCATGCGACCTTAACAGTACTGTGCTAATATAGAGTCCAGCCCTATAGACACTTACCCAAGGCTAACATTTGTTCAGTGAGTGTGAAGGAAGCAAAAACAGCCAATTGTTACATGTCATAACCAGCTCAAGGCAAAATAATAGGGTGTTGTCAGCAATCTTCAAGTTGGTAACCATGGTCACTCTGAACAACTTCATCTTCCTTTGCCATGGCAGGTAGGTGTTGCCTTATCTGGCATCTTGGTGATAAGTTGCAACAAGACTGTCACAATTACACATTTGGCAGATTCCATCTAAGTAAGCCCAGGTATTCAAAGGTTTCTCATGTGGGGTATAATTCTGGTAGTTTTTATAGGAATTTTATGCTAGATAAAGCTTGCTAAGAATTTATCTTTTTCAGGTCAGTTACCTGATGTAATATGGTAACTTCATATGACTGTACATTAATGTTCTTGCCATAACATGAGAAAATCAAGAAAATGATGGAAAACAACTTTGCTGCAGGCATCACAATTACTGCAGTAGTCTCACCCACCAAATCAAAAGACTTTACAAACCAGTCTCTGGATACAAAATATGGCTACAACACTATAGTGGCATTCAAAGTAAGATTTTGAAATACACTGAAAGTGTGTTGAAACTTATGTTGAAAGAGCCATGAAACTTTTTCAGTGTGATGTTAAGCTCTGCTTGATTACCTTAGACACAATGCCTTGACAATCTGCACATCAAAACCTCTTACACTAGCTAGATGCTGCTTCAATAGAAGTTGCAATAGCTCAGATAGAGCACACTAGGCATGAGTTAGATCTTGATGATTCCAGTTCAGGCTCCAATAGTATGATACCAAGTCCCATGATCATATCCCCACTCTCCCCTATCTCACCAAATATATTGGATACTACATCAGATAATTCAACTGACAGTTTAGGTACCAACTTCTGCAATGTTGATCTACACTATCTGCACCTTTTGGGGGATATCACGGCACTTCATGATGAAGTAGAAAGAGCACAAGTCCTCCATCACCCTGATGAGCCCCCCATGCATGTACCACAGATTCAGCTCTTACCACACTTTGCTGCCCATCACCCAGATCTTTTTTGCCAGAAACTGTGTGTCTACCCCAACATTTTTGATAACATCCTTGACTGTATCAGCAACAATCCCATCTTTCAAAACAATTCCAATAACCACCAGCTCCCCATTGCCCTGCAACTAGCTATTTTTCTCAATTACATGGGGTACTATGGCAACATGATATCTAATGAAGATGTCTGCCAATGGGTGGGTGTTAGCATTGGATCGGTCACCAATTGTACCAATTGTGTCATGATTGCTCTACTTGAGTATCATGACCAGTTCATCTTCTTCCCAAGTCTCAATTCTAATGACACTGCTCATGCCCAAGAGTACATCTCAAAGATCTGCCCACAATGCTGCAATAGTATCTTTGCTACTGATGGCTCTATGATCAATCTCTGTAACAAGCCAGGGCTCTATGGAGAGACATTTTTCAATACAAAATCTGACTACTCCCTCAATTGCCAGGTAAGTATTTCTTATTTTTTTCTTAAAACATTCAACTAATATATGTCTAGGTAGTAGCAATGCCTCATAATCTTCTTATCATGGATTATTTGATTGGCCATGTCAGTAGTGCGCATGACACATATACTTTCTACTCTACACATGTTTTTCAAGACCATGAGGTGCTCCTTAGAGACAACCACTGGATCTGGGCCAACAGCACTTACCCATTGGAACCATGGTGCATCATGTCATTCAAGAAGCCATGCAATGGCACACTAAGCAGGATGCAAAACAAATTCAACTCTAATCTCTTTATGGTATGTATACTATTTTTTTCATTACATCTATTTACTGATTTTTGGGGTTAGGTCTGCATTCGCATTGAGCATGTCTTTGCAGCACTCAAAGGCCATTTCCAATCTCTCTGTGAGCTTTGGCATCTGATACAAACCAAGAAACACCTTGAGTATATGTTGTACTGGATCATGTGCTGCTTGATTCTCCACAACATGGTTATCCAATTTGAGGAAGAGCACCACATATCTACTACTCAATGGGCCACAGGGCAGGACAGGTTTGAGGAGGAATGAGAGGAGGATGCTAGTGAGGACAGAGTTGGTAATATGTTGCATGATGGAACACCTGGACAGGCATCTCATGGTTGGTTGATGGACTACTTGCTCAAAACCCTGGAGAGGAGGCAGGGGTAGGCAAGAACAAGGTACAATGCATAACATTAGTGAATAAAACATGTAAGGTACACTAGGCATACAAAAAATGCACATGACTTTGAACATGAATACATGTGAACAAGTGAGCCAATGCAAATGGCAAATGAAAGCTCCAACATGAAAACATGAACAAGTACAGCAACAGCTGTGAGCGAGCAAACAACAAATCAAGTCTCTTTTGATGACAACCCTTCTTTAAGAGTGATTAACTCAATTTTGAGGCAAAGGGCCACCACCTTCTCTGACTAAACTTTGGCCTAGGGCTTCAAGAAGACAAAGCTTGAGTGTCTTTGCCTCCTGTGACCGCTGGTGCACTGAATCAGCTTTACTGTGCTCGATTACACCCTGCTCCCATTGGAATTGTATATCGTATTCATGGCAGAGTGCATTGACCTTGGCAATTTTGTACTCAGAGGCAAATTGCTTTGCAGAGTAGATATAGCTCATATTGTCAGTGAGAGACCCCACTTGGTCAAGCACATCTGATGTTCCCAATTGAACATGCTCTGAAAGGCTGCACTTGTGTGCAGTCTTTTTCCAGCCAGGTCTGAGCAAGGTCTGCAAGTCTTGTGATACCATGCAGGATAATGAAGCAAATGTCCATGCAGATGAGCTGGGGGTATTCACTGATGAGGACACCATAGATGCTGGCTTTTTTGCATGAGGGGAGCCATGCTCCATGGCATGAGTAACATGAGACTTGCCAGTGAAGGCCACTTCATGACAATGATACTGTGAGGTGTGATTTGTTGGCTTGAAGATGTGGAATAGTGAGAGGGACCTTTGGTGTGAGTATTTATTGCTTGGATGCTGAGTGTTATCCTGTTCCTCATTATCCACCTCCATCTCCAACTCCTCAGTGCCATCATCCCAATTTCTGGGGTCACACTCCTCAAGTGCAGGGTCAGGATCATTGTATGTAGGGTTATATGGAGGGTTGTGGGCCCAAATAAAGGTAGCAGGGGGCACACCTTTGTTAAGTGAATTGTTGGCATCCATATCATTGAGATCAGCGTCCATATTATCAAGGTTAGGGTTGGTATTGGAAAGAGTTTGGGAGGCAGTAGGATGAGGGGCATCATTGGGTTCAAAATTTGAAGCCCTCTCTTTCCCCTTTGCTTGTGAGTACACCATGGAATCATCTGTGGTGGCACTGGAATTTGCAGGATGAGAGGCAACCTGCTTACCAGTAGGGTAAGAGGTCTGTTTGTGTTTAGGCTCTGTTAGTGCATGGAGGGCACCAGCTGTAATCTTTTCCAGGAATGGAGGAGAAGGTCTTTGGGGCAAAGGCAGGGTTGTCCTTCCACAGTGCATCAAGGTCTTCAAACCATGGAAATTCAGATAATACTTGCACTGCAATGTTTCTAGCTTGATCAGATAATCTAAATGATTTAAAATAAAACTTGCCTCAAAGATTTACTTTAGATAGAGGGTCAAGAGGGTTGACACCAGCACTAATCATCCCAAAATGATCAGTTGCAGCCTTATACTTCCCCCTGAGACTAATATTTCATTAGTATTACAGTACCCAATTCTTTTTCCCATCATCACTGTGGACACCTCATGGCTGTACTTCTTATACTTCCTTTTCACCTTGCTATCTCCTCATGTTGTTCTCTTATCTCTGACTCATATTGCACTTTCTCATAAACCTTCCTTTCTTAGTACTTGTTACCCTTTACCAGCCTGGTCTGTGCACAATTCCTTTACGTATATAAACCCTAGCTAGCACTTGTACTTTTCTCCAACTTTAATCTACTCAGTTTTCCTTGATATCCAAACTCTAGCTCCTTGGGAAGGAGGCTAGCCTGTGTCCCATTTGAACTCTAGATCCTGCAGGAGTCCAGATGATCGCTCCTGAGGGAGGACATTGACTTGACAAGGTCTTATCCTTGGTTGACCCTGATCCTTGATTCCTTTATTGGAATTACTCTATCTGAGTTTGTAACAGTTAGTGAATACACATCACTGCAGGCATTTACCCATTTTCCTCCACCAAACATCCAAAAAACATTGATTGAGAAGATAGAATTTTCCCCTCATTTTGTCTGTCAAAACATTGAAAAAAAGTAATTCATGTTTCAATCATGTTCTGTGTGTAGGACACAATGTAAAAATCAATCATGTTTCTTCAAGGATAATGCTGTATTTTCTGTCTATTGTCTTTTAAATAACAGCTTAAAATAATGTTGATTTTTGTCTCCATGTTTGTAAAGTCAATCAATATCACTCAAGATACTCCAAAAATATGTTGATTTAAGAGCACCCTCCATGGAAGCAATCATCATCTCAAGTTTCATGACCTTGTGCTTGATATTCCTCTTATCCTTTCTCAGATATATTACCTCTGATTTGACTTCAGGTTGTGTGCATTTGTTGTGTGAGTCTCATGAGTAGTGCATAGTATCATAGATATATGCATCAACATTTCAACTATTTGTATTCCAATTGTTGAAATTTGGACATCGAGCATGCTCATACCAAGTCTGTTTGACAGAACAAAGTGTGCATTGTTCATTCTATTGTGTTTCACCTTTGTCTTTCTCATTCAATTATATGCTCTTATGTACACTAAAAACTTTTGTTTGCTATGGCCAGCGCCATCCTCCATTGTCACAGTCTCATATACTTATAAGAGCACTCAAGCTACAGTGACTTGCAAAACTGTTACAATGTTTGGTACTTTTTCAGTGTACACAATATAGCACCTATGCACATGGGAATCATGCTTAGTGTTGGTGGGGGCGTGTGAACTACAAACCCTTGGCTACAGACTGACACTTGGATCATGTGATTTGGTTAAGGGGATGCGAAGATATGCCTATTTTAAGACAGAGATACCATTGTAATGGTTTTGCAGCTGTTGATATAGATAGAGGGATCTCAGTCAAATCAGAGGATGGTTACTGTTATTTGCTTATTCAAATAAAAATATACATAAAAATATTATGCCTGAGTTTGAAATTGCTCCCATGCTTCTTTATTTTTAATCATTACCACCATGGGATCTCTCTCTACTACTCAAAAGAATACTATTCTCTTTTAGCTTAATGCTGGTCATTCTATTCACTCTATTGCCTCCACAACTGGTGTTAGCACTACTACTATCTCCAAGCTTCATTAAAACAAGTGTTCCTACTTGCAAAAGTTGACTGGTGGTCATTCAACCAAGCTTTCCTCAGTCAATATTTGTCATCCTATTTGTTTCATCTTTACTCAGCAGGCAGAAACTGCTATCCAAGTGCTCAAATCTTTTTCAAATATTGTCAATTAGCCCCCCAGCCCAAGTACCACTTGCTGCTACATGAAAAAGCTGGGATAAGGGCTGTAGTCAAGTCCAAACACTCTACTATCTGCCAAATATTGCAAAGCATACTTAGACTTTGCCTATACTTACAAAAATTGGACTTTGGAGGACTGGAAGTTGGTCATATGGTCTGATGAGACCAAAATTAATCACCTAGGGTCAGATGGTTGCAAATAGGCTTGGAAAAAGTCAGGAGAGAGGCATAGTGACAGATTGGTATAAGGAACTATCAAGTTTAATGGAAGTTCTGTGATGATATGGGGCTGTATGACCTGTGAAGAAGTTGGCTATGCTGCTAAGATTGATGGTAGAATGGGTGGAGATCTTTACCTTCAAATTTTGAAGGATAAACTTCAGGATTTCCTGGAGTTTTATAATCTTAATGCTTCTGATGTCATCTTTCAGCAAGACAATAACCCTAAGCATACCTGCAAAAAGATCAAGAAGTGACTAGATTGGCAGGAATTTAGGACTATGGTGTGGTCTGCACAATCTCCTGACCTTAACCCATTGGAATATCTCTGGGACCTTGTCAAAAGGAGACTTGCAGAGTATGAGCATTCCCCTAAGGAAATAGTAGCAATGGTTGGGAATAAAGATGCATGGGAGCAATTTCAAACTCAGACATAATATTTTTATGTATATTTTTATTTGTATAAGCAAATAACAGTAACCATCCTCTGATTTGACTGAGATCCCTCTATCTATATCAACAGCTGCAAAACCATTACAATGGTATCTCTGTCTTAAAATAGGCATATCTTCGCATCCCCTTAACCAAATCACATGATCCAAGTGTCAGTCTGTAGCCAAGGGTTTGTAGTTCACACGCCCCCACCAACACTAAGCATGATTCCCATGTGCATAGGTGCTATATTGTGTACACTGAAAAAGTACCAAACATTGTAATGGTTTTGCAAGTCACTGTATTTAGTTACTGCTGATAAGAGCCGTTGAAGGTTCAACAACTCTGCTGGCTTCCAGAGCAGAAGAAAGAAAGAATGGCTCTCACTCTGGGGAGAGAGAAAAGCCTACTGACTCTCTAAGTTGTTGGTCAAAGTGCACCAGGTGATATGTTTGACCCTTAAGGGAAGCAAAGAAAGCAAGGACCCATGAAGTGACACCAGGTCAACTCTGGTGAAGTGCAACAAGTGCATGTGCAGGAATATGGAGCATGTAGGTGTGCAAAGCATGGGAATAAGGTGCATGCAGTGCATGAACATATAAAGACTGGTAGAAGACATGAAGACGTGAACTAAGACTGCTGAATGGTGACTGATGATAATGGACTGTTGCTGAGGGCTAGGGCGATGACTGATGCATGCTGGCTGAAGACAATAGATTCTGACTCTAGATGATGACTACTGACATGATGGTGGTTGGTATATGAAAAACTTCCTAGGCCATAGGTAAGCTGTGCCTAGGTGCACTCCAAGGGCTTGGAAGTGAATAGGGAGCACTCTATGTATGTAAGTGATGTAATGTAAGGGTCCATGATGGAATAAAATATCATACAACACCAGAAATGGTCTGATAGTAAGAATAAATGAGAAAGGACTCACTAGGGAACTGGTTGGATGATAGATGGATGCTCCCAGATGCTACATGACATAAGGCAACCAAGCACAGGAATGTGTTGTGCCTCTGGTGTGTTTTGTAGGAAAGTCATAGGTAGTGAGTTGTGCACTATACCAATCATTGTGAGTCAAAATATATGCGATATATGCTTAGAGGAATCTCATTCTCTACACTGTTACCTCAGATGTTTGCCTTCATGCACACAATCTGAGGTAAGATACCTGTTATCTACTTACTTTCACTTTTACTTACCTCAAGTAGAGTATCTGGTTATCACAGGTGAATGTTTGCCTTCACACGCACAATCTGAGAGTATCTGGTTATCACAGGTTATCACAGATCTGTGTTTTGCTACTATTTGCACTGGAAATAGTCCTGCTCTTCATGATATCAGTGATGGAGACTTGTGTGCATGTGTTGTTAAGAAATATCAGGACCTACAGGTGAATTTGTGGAAGGCTTGCAAGTTGTCTGGAAACCTGACAACATCCCTCACTGCTGCCTCAGACAGACTTGAAAGTGCTCCTCCTGGGCCACAGGCTGAGATTGTCATTGTGACAGTGATTTTATAATCAAAACTACAAAGTTGTGCCAGAGGAGTAAGTTTGAACCATCAGACCTCAATAAAACAAACACTCACCTGGGTGCCTTAGAAGCTTGAAATGTATATCTGAAAAAATGAGATCTGCTGGAGGTGTCAGAGTTCAGGGATGAGAGGTATGGAGCATGTTAAGGTCGCATGCTCAAGGGGGGTTGGATCACAAGGGCTTGGCCTCAGCTTGTATGCTGTGCCCCTTTCCTGAGTATGTGCCCTTAATTTCCAGGGGCTAGAACAGTCATCTGGGATTTCCAGGATTTGCCTAGGACAGACAACAGATGTCCAGATCTGAAATGTGAGATAAATCTGATGGACACCCGGATGTTACTTGGACAAGTGGATAAGACTAATCCAGGTGAAGTCCAGACTAGAAACTAACAGAGGATAGACTACCCTAAGGTAGAGCTGAAGATGTAGTCTAGGATACAATCCTAAGACTCAGAATATGACAAGAGACTTGGCTCAAGTCTGGAGGACACAGGAATGAGCAGGAACTAAGATGATATTCAAACTGGAGTATTTCCAAGAGTTACAGGAGGTTTATATACTGTAGGTATCATATAGGAATCAGTCAGCAAAAATAAAGGCTATGTATGAAGCATATGCAAAGTCTATTAGTAAGTAGGATGGATCACAAATAATGAACACTGGAAATGAAATGTATGTAATGGATCAATGATCAGAAGGAAAACATAGTTAACTGGAGTCCAGAGACAGGGGAAGTCTAAATGGGGTTGGGCACTGATATAGGGTTTGGATTCTGGAAGGAAGATAAAGATAGATCACATAATTGGAGATCCAGATATTGTTACAGTCACAAGTGCCCCTATTCATTTTCTCCTTACTATCCTTGTATTACGTCATGAGCTGCATGATGCTGCCACTAGACCTGTTTCCTATATTTGTATTACATCACGATCGCCACTGCTGTTGCTAGATGACTCATTTCTTATCTCTGACTCATTGTTGAGCCTGCCCTGAATTGTCTACAGTCATATATATAGTTGACAATGTACTTAGTATTTCTTTACTTTAATCTTACTAGGTTTTCACCTGAACATTCTCTCACTTAAGACCTCCAATCTTAAGTTGTCTGAACTGATATTCAAGCCAGAGACACTCTCTTTGTCTTGTCTTACGACCCTTGCATTTGCAAGGTCTTGACTATAACTGCAGCCATTGCTCTTATTGAGCTGCTGTTGTTATGACCATCCTAGTTCATAACAGATATCTGGAGAAGCAGATTTAGAGTTGAGAATGGCATATGACACACAGGAACAGAATGGCCAGATGTAGCAAGCAGCAGTTATGCGAGCAATCTGGAGCGACAGTGTGGGGTGGAGAAGGAGGCTCTGTATCTGGTATCTGAGTCCACAAAGAGGGAATACACTGTCCAATTGCAAGAGACACTTGAATGAGTAAAATTCCACATCAAGTATCTTGAGAATGATGAAGTCTGTAATTATGTGGAGCTTGAGGAGATCATAGAAAGGCATAAAGAAGAGTTAGATGAGATAAGGAAGAAATATGAAGACCTTGAGAGCTATTGTGACCATATTGATGATTTGGAAGAAGAGGTTCAATATAAAATTGTGATACTCAACATCTGGATGAACAATGTGGAATGGCTTGACATGCAAACAAATGCTCAGAGGAAGAAGATAGAGGACCTCACCAGCCCTCACATTGAAGATGAGATGGAGAGGTACCAAGCTGATGCTGTTATCAGAGACACAATCATCAACTTCATAGATCATGCATTCCTGTAACCTATCAGTTGGACCCATGTGTTTGATATTAAATGTTTCCCACACCACTAACCATTACCATATAATAGTCCTTATAACTTACTTCAGACACATATAATCTATGACACCCTTCTTCAACTCCTTTGATACTGACTGTGATTCAGGCAAAGATCACTAGGCAAGGACAGGATGGCTGCAATGCAGAACCTAATTTCTTCCATAGAATGCATCAAATGTGTACAATATTATTGACATTAGGACAACCACAGTTTAATAAAAAGCAATTTGAGAATTGTACAATATATTGAAAGCACCACAACTACTCATTCCCTAGATGCCTTTTGATGCACTGTAGCTGCTGCCTTAGTTCTTTGCACCTGAGTTTGGCATTCTTGCCAACTTCCCTCATGCATTCGAGATGCTGCTCCACCTTCCTGACATTTACCTCCAAACTTCTTTTGATCAATCTTTCTCTTCTTCCTAGCACTCACATCCCAGTTGTTCAGCCATTTTCCCAGCAGTATCCCATCACTCAAAGAATCACATGAACTCCCATGTGAATGTGGAGGATCTTTATTTTGGATGACTATGATATGATCACTTTTAGAATAGTAAAAATTAGCAACATTGGGCAAAAAATAAACATACAATTTGTGCACTGCTCATGGCAGGTGACACAAGCTTCATCTGGCTGACCCATGCAGGAGGCACAACCAGGGTCTCTCACTGTGCATACTGGGAATGGCTACATCTTCAAATGTTAAGCTCAGTGAGTGATGACCTTGATTGATCAGCATGGGCAAATAATTTATAGTGGTGTTCAAATATGGATGTAGGCATAATGGTGATTTTAGAACAAGCGGACTATCTTGCTGTTGGCTGAGATGCATTCTGTGGCCACTTCACCCAAGAGTAACAATGCCCTGTTGAATGTACATTCACTGGAAATTCCTGATGAAGTGGACTGTAGGTCACTTTGTCAAGAGATATTCAGCCACAACATGTATCAGGAGTCAACAAATCATTATTGGCCTTGGTTATTTCAGCATTGTAAGATATTTACATGTAAGAAGGTCTGACAATACACTAATAATGTCACATTGCATGCAAAGATCAATATACTTGACTGCACTATGCAACCAAAATAACATCTGGCCTCAGTGCATAAGGGAGTCCAAGAGATATAAGGTAACAGTAAGTATGGTATCTAGTTATGCCATCACACAATATATCTACTAGTCCACAAGGTCTCATCTGACCATATAACATGCTTCCAGTCCTCTACAGTCCAGTGTTGATGAGCTAAGGCAAAGGCTAGTCTTCTCTGCCTATCAAACTTTCATGCAGAAGTCATTTCTATGCTCCTTATTAGCTAACAACTCAGAAAAATAGTCTTGGAACTGACAATAATGACCCACTACTACACTTCACACTTTGTGATGCTTCAATGTGTTTGAGTTCATGATATCCAGATTCCTTGCCATTCACTCACTGCAGGCATATTCCCATTTTTCTCCAAAAACATTGATTGAGAAGATAGAAATTTCCTCTCATGTTGCCTATCAAAACATTGAAAAAAAAATTCATGTGTCAAAGATTTCTGTGCATGGGACATGATGCAAAAATCTGTCATGTTCTTTCAAGGATAATACTAGATGTTCCATCTATTTTCTGTTAGACAGCAGTTTACAATGAGGTTAAATTTCTGGTCTGTGTTTTTAAATATACACAAAACATTTGAAAACATAGTATATTTGGACTAAAAATTAACATTATTATAAACTGCTGTTTAAAAGACAATAGATAGAAAATCCAGTATTATCCTTGAGAGAACATGACAAATTTTTGCATCATGTCCCATGCACAGAAAATCTGTGACACATGAATTTTTTTTTTCAATGTTTTGACAGGTAAAATGAGAGGAAATTTCTATCTTGTCAATCAATGTTTTTTGGATGTTTTTTGGAGGAAAATGGGAAAATGCCTGCAGTGACTGCTCTTGGCAAGAGCTACCATAAAGCACACACCTAAAGTCAACCAGATGCTCAGAAAGCACATTATGTGGGAAGTACAGGTAAGTTTGATTCTTGAATCTGCTACCATTGCATTGATCCCTTGTGAAGATATTTGTCTTAACCTTTGTGAACATCTGCATGGGTACAAACATGCAGTCCATCCTACCATTCTTTCTGGAGCAAATTATTAGTCTTGTGGGCAGGTAGAAAGTTGGGTTGTATTGCAACAAGCATATCGCTATTGCATTCCCAGCTTGTCATGCAGAGAAGCATCTATGTCTGTGGGAAGGTCATTGGTTGGTGGATCATTACCCCTATTCCTGGTGGAATGACAGCTAAGACATGCATTTTCAGACTCTATTAAGGTTGTGTGCTCAAGGGGGGTCAGATCACAAGGGCTTGGCCTCAGCTTGTATGCTGTTCCCCTTTCCTGAGTATGTGCCCTTAATTTCTGGGGGCTGGGACAGTTGTTCAGAGTTTCCAGGTTTTGACCAGGGTGGACAATGGATGTCTGGATCTGGAACATGAGATAAATCCAGCGGATGTCCAGATATTGTTTGGACAAGTGGATAAAGCTAATCTGGATGAAGTCTGGACTAGAAACTGACAGGAGGTAGACTACCCTAAGGTAGAGCCACAGATATAGTCTAGGATATAATCCTAAGACTTGGATTATGACAAGAGACTCAACTCAAGTCTGGAAGACACAGGAATAAGCAGGAACTAAGATGATATTCAAACTGAAGTATTTCTGAGAGTTACAGGAGGTTTATACACTGTAGGTATCATATAGGAATCAGTTAGCAAACACAAAGGCTATTAGTAAGTAGGATGGATCACCAATAATGAATACCAGAAATGAAATTTATGTAACAGATCAGTAATTGAAGGGAAACATGGTTAACCAGAGTCTGGAGACAGAGGAAGTCTAAATGGAGTTGGGCACTAATATAAGGTTTGAATTCCAGAAGGAAGATAAAGATAGATCAGATCATTAGAGATCCGGATCTTGGATTTAGAGTTAGGAGTCTGGAATGGCATATAACAGACTCCAGGTGTATAGTTGAGCTTTGCAGAAGTGATGGAATTTGTCAAAGAACATTTTGAGCGATGAGTGAGCATTCAGATGCATTTTTTCAGTTTGTCAGCTGACATAGGGCAGCCAGAAGGTGCATTGCTGGCTGCTTTACCCATCACCATGATTTTCAAGGAGGTTTGCTTAGCAGACAGCTTCTTGCTGTCAGGGCTGTAGCAACATGTGCCATAGATGAAGTTCACTGAATAAGGCCATCCTTAGTGCCAAGTCTCTCAGCTGCCAGGAGGACCTCAATATCAGCCATGCTATAGAAGCAAAGCTTCTCTGGTTAATTGTGCAAGACAGATGATCACCACTTTATAGTCATGCTAGTCCACCTGCACATAGCAATATTACATGTAATGAATTGTATTATATCACATGTATGTCATCTTTGAGCAAGCTCTCAATGTTAGCAATTATCTTGTGACTCATGACATTATGTAATATGTATCTTATGATACTCCCCCAGTGTAGTTAACCAATGAAAATTGCTCATCTTTCATCTTTCAGTCTAATCACATAGCCTTAAAGAATTAAGTAAGCATCACAAAACCTATGCATAAAAAAATATCCTTGCAGATATTGCCCACAGTTTTTCTGCTCATTCATCAACACTGCATGCACAATGTTGACATGCCCAATGATTGGGCTTTACACAAGGTCTGTCTAGCCAGCCAGTACATCAAGGATCAGTTTTGGTCCCATGTTTCTCAGTCTCCATGCATCATTCCACCCATAGAACTTGATGTCCAAATAATGTTGAGCTGTGCACAACTGGCATTGACTTTGATTAATGTATATACTAATCCAAGTGAGTTCTCTTCATATCCAGCACTTCTGTCCTAACTGATAGTGACAGTTTAACTCAATCTTAATATGGGCCCACCTTGGGTGATGATCTAACATAGGAAAAAGTTACTGAATTGGCTCCTTTATCACTCCTGTTGTATATGTATCATGGTATGAATCACATGCCATGCATAACAGTGCTGATGAAGACACAAGTGAGGGGACAAGATCACTATGCCTGATGGGACAAACATATGATGGCCAAGGCTATCTCCATGACTAATGATGTTATAATAAAGATGACTATGTAGCATTCCATTGATAGTTGAGAGGAGGGAACTTTAGGAAGGGAATTGTCATGTTTAAAGTGATATCAAAGTGAATCTTGACCAGTATACCATCCAGGACAGCCAGTAATTGGACATTTAAAGGCATTGCATACCTCTAGTCCTGACATTGGTTCAGTAAGATTGCCCATGAGTTCCTGACAGCCTGTTTCAGCTGTGATGTGGTAACTGCCAAGAAAGTGTGCCATGACTTCCTTCCAGACATCTCTACTCCCAGTCATACAATGCTTTTCCATATGATGTTTAAATAGGAAGGAGAGATTAGCATGGCATGAATATGACAGGCAAAACTATATGGTGTAAAAGTTATATGAAGATTCAAGAGAATTGGGCAAGAGCTATTCAAAGAACTAAATAAGCCAGAGAATGGGTGAGGCTCTGTGCGATATACCTTAGTGCATGTTTTATTACTATGCCTGCAAACCACAGGATGAGGTGCTTCTGGAATCATGTATCCTTGTGTGTACCTTACAAGGATTGGGTCAGTCTTCTTGACTTCATGAAAGAAAAATCACTGTCATCACTTGCATTGGAGCTATCATCTGTACTCAGTACCACTTCAGAAAAAAGCAAGTCCTGGGATGAGCCAGTCTTTCTCCTGAGGACTTCATAAGAGGGAGAAATATCCTCATTACTACTTGCATTGGAGCCACTATCTGCTCCTGACTCTGCTTCAGAAAACAGTGAGTCCTGGGGCAGGCCAGTCTTTCTCCTCTTGACTTGATGAGAGGGAGAATCTCCCTGGTACTAACTTCTACCAGCATCACCATCTGCACTTTCCATAGATGTTTGAGGAAAGGGTTTATCTCCATCAGATGATTCTTCCTCAGAAAATAGTGAGTTACAATGTGCATTTGAATGTGATTTATTGAGTGACAGCAGTATAGCTACACATGCCATGCACTGTCTCTAGAGAAGTGAAATATACTAATTCAGACAAATTTATCACAGATAATCAATTAGACATTACCTTCATGGGGTTCACTGGATGTGAAGCTTCTGTCAGTCTAGATTGTCTGGTGGGTGCAAATATATAAGTAGGCCCAGGATGTAAGTAGCTGACTACTAAGGAGGCTTGAACAAATCCCAGAGCAAGTTGAGCTAGCCACAAAGCAGATCACTGTGCCTGGCAGCAGAAAAAGTACTGTTCCTGCTATGAAGTAGAAAGCCTCAGAGTGGGCATGCCATACTTCTATTATGAATAGCCAAGTGCATGCTAGCATTGTGTCATATCCCACAATCTGGACTCACATTCCATAGTATTCCCATGCCTTCCAAGCCTATGTCTGGACCCCATATCCAACTCATTCCCAAATCCCCTTCTGCTGTGTGCTCCACACCTCAGCAGGATCAACTATGCTCCAGATTTACCCCTGAGCTCCGGACCTCCAGATCCTCACTGCTAGCCTGATCTGTACAACCCTATCCTGTCCACCCTATGTGCACTCCATCCAGCAAGACATCCGGACTTCACCTTGTCTTGGATTCCAGACTATATCCACCTTCTCATATTCTGGTCCTGTATCCACCTTGTCTTCTGGATCCCCAGATCGCCAGACCTCCGGATATTAACTCCGGACCTATTCCCACCCTCTGTCCAATATCCTGCACCTATCCCCATTTAGGCATTCTCTGCCTTCTGGCTTTCAGTTACCTCTTGTTCCATCTTGCTTATTGATCCTTGTATGAGTCCTCATCTCCGAGTTCATTTACTTATGTTCCGACTTACTTACTAATGTGTTTCCACATGCTTGTACATGGCCTTGCTCCTTTGCTTACTGATCCCCTCAGATATTGTTCAGTATATAACCCCTGTAGATACTCCTGTAGTTCCTTAGTTTGAATATCAACTTAGACTTACCCAATCCCCTCTCAGACTTTGGTCCACCTAAGTCTGTCCTACCCATCAGGCCTAGGGATTGATTCCCTAGGCCAGAGCTCTGCCTTTCCAGCACTTTCCCTCTTTCCGGACTTAGGTCCAATCCCTGTCTCTTCAACTCTACCTTAGGGTAGTCTACCTCTGTTTGCTTCTACATTGGACTTCATCTGATGTAGCCCCTATTCCTTCTGGACCTCTGGACCTCCTGTCCCTTGTACCTCTGGGCATCCTGTCCTTTGGACGTTCTGTCCTCCTAACCCTTGGACATCCTGTCCTTCTGTCCTCCGTCATCCTGTCCTCCTGTCCTCCTGTCCTCCTGTCCTCCAGACCTCCTATCCTTCCATCCTGTTTCCTGTAGAAGTATTACCTTGCAGTGGGAACTCTCCAGAGCACTTCCTGCATTCCTCCGGAACTCTCCCGTGCTCCTCCAGATGTTTCCCGCGCTCCTCCAGAAGTCCTCTAGTGCTCTCCAGCAGAGTAGCCAGCCTCTGGAAGTCCTCCAGACTTCATCAGACCATCATCAGACCTCATATGAAATGAAGGGCACATACTCAGGTAAGGGGCACAGCGTACGAGCTGAGGCCAAGCCCCTCTGAGTCAATCTCTCTCCCCCTTGAGCAACATGGTTCTTAACACATTGTTTACATTATATGTATAGTGTTACAATGCCCCACTCTTTTTCTCATCATCACTGCGGACTCCTATATGGCTGTACTTCTAACGCTTCCTTTTCACTGTGCTGTTTCCTCATGGTCTCTCTTATCTCTAACTCATACCTTGTTTTCCCATGAACCTTCCATTTCCAGTACTAGTTACCCTTTGCCCAGCTTGGTCTGTGCATGATTCCTTTACATATATAAACCCTAGTTACCACTTGTATTTTCTCTAACTTGAATCTACTCAGTTCTCTTTGATACTCGAACTCTAGCTCCTTGGGAAGGAGGCTAGCCATTGTCCCATTTGAACCTTAGATCCTTCGGGAGTCTAAGTGATCACTCCTGAGGGAGGCGTTAACTTGATAAGGCTTAGTCCTTGATTGACTCTGATCCTGATTCCTTTATTGGAACGACACTCTATCTGAGTTCGTAACATATAGGTCCTCTCCACCAACAGGAATGCTAGGTGATAAAGTTGCATAATCATTGCAGAACTTTCCTCTGGAAAGCATTTGAAGGTGGTTCCAATACTGGTCCAGATGAGTTTGGTATTTTTTTTCTCCAGGCAAGAATGTGTTCAGGGCTTCAAGTTGCATACTTGGACTGAGACAATTCCCTCAAACCCCTTACTGGCTAGACTTTCATGGGATGCCATATTCAAACATTGATTCTTGCACTAAGTGTTCTGTAACATTTCCAGAAGAAAAGGAGTGCAGGAACTACCACAAATATTGCTTTGGTGCTATCGAGACTTTTCAATTCAGTCCTAGTCAGTAGATCATCACTGTCACCAAAAATGGTGATGGTTGCTTTACCTGCTACTGCTCCCATACTGACTGTCCAAAGCCAGGTTACTTGGGCCACTCATCCTTAGAGAAGCTAGGGGTACACTTAAGGAGTGTTGAGTCCTGCTGGATTGGCTTGAGCAAGGTAGGAGCATCACAGTATATAACTTTGCCATGCTAATGCCAGGCATTAATTAATATTAATATTATTAATTTTAGATCAGACAAGATAACCCACATCTGCCATAGCCACTGATCCATTCTCACCAGGTATGTGCTTCACATACATACACAGCAGTATTACAATTACTGTAATGCCTTAGTCTCCAAAGTGCAAATATGCAGTCAATGCATCCACCAAGCATATCCCAGATCCCACCCTCAAAAAGAAGTGACTCCACACACCAAGCAACCCAGTCAATGGTTACAACAACACTGCTTTAGGCAACATGAGAAGTGATGCACTGTTATGTCATGCAGGGGCAACACTCTGCCATAGTCATTTAAAGGTGAATTCTTTGTGGAAGTTGTCACCAAAATTACACTCACATAGATTATTGGTGCCAGGCTCTTGTCTCCACTACCTCACCCTCCCACAGTGCAGCCCCAGTAATACCCCCCAGGGCTAAGCCCAGCTAGTGGAATTTAACCACACAGTAGGCCTAAGAGGCAGTACTTCATATGTGAATGACCCTCATGCAAGTGGAAGTGATAATGAAGATTACAGTGCTGAGGGCATACAGGGATGACAGGGTATTAATAGAGGCAAGCCTGAGGTATGCATTGTATCACTATGCTAAGTTCATGGTTAGACTTACCTTTTCTGCAGATTCACACAGCCATGAATAAGGTCAATAACTAGAACAATGGGCCCTGTGAGACTCCAGAGCCACTTCATACTTTAGCATGTGACTCAGCACATTCACCACTGGAGACCAAGGTTGAGGCTGCTAGGGTTGTAGTACAGCCTGCTAAGGAGAAGGAAATAGTGCATTGCAGATGTGAGCCAAAGCTAGCAGAGCTAACCTTTGAGTGAGATTGCCTTTCTTCTGTTGTCAATGAAGTTAGAGCATCTTGGGATGTGGATAGAGTGTAGTAGGACAACCAATACAAGCAGTGGAACAAACAATGCAAGTAGTGGGACAATTCTCATCCTGAAGTCAAAATAGATCTTGAGAATCTTCAACCTAGTGAAATCATGATTGACATGGAGAAAGGAAAAGTTCCAGTCTTACACTAAAGTCAATCATATTGTTTCTAAAGATTACTATCCAATACAGTATACACTATAGACTTCATAATTGAGAATAGTGGAAAGAAGAACCAAGTCTTATGAGGCAGTGAACCATCCATGCTGGCAATGTCACTGGTCTATCCACCAGTACCACCACTGAGTTCCAGGACAAGGGGAAAGGTAAGGCCATTGATGCTGACCCAGAGCCTGAAGCAGAAGGGAGTTGGAAGAGGAAGTCTCCCATGATTTTGGGACTCTTCTTCCAACCACCAAAGTCTGCGATGAAGACTCGCAAGCGTGCAAAGTCCTCTCACTGGGTGACATCCAAGCCCCTAGTGGACTCGGAAGATGAGGAAGATGTGGGTATTCAGGTATGTCATCTGGTTCATCTTTGACTTGGCTCACATTTTCTTGTAGCCATTTTTGGGTGGAGTGCTGGATGACATCCTTCCCCGGCTCTCCAATTCATCTAGATCACCCCAGGTTCTGACCAAAAAGCCCTTTTGCCCTGCTACAGTAAGTCACATTTATGTGTTTGGGACTCAGGTGTATGCTCACAATGTACCAGGTGATTGCCAGCAGTCACCCAGCAGTCATTGAGCCCTCCCAGCCAACTCCCAAAAGCCCAGTGGAGGCACCCCCAGTCATCAATGGAGGTGATATTCTCATTCCTGGACAAGTGAGTACTTTGATTTATTTGACAAGTGTCCATTCACTAACACGACCCACACAACAACCCATGCCAGGTTTGCATCAAGCTAAAGTGGCCCTGCACAACTCAGTTGGACAAGAGGACTGGGAATCTGTGTATGTCATGCGTCCACTGCACAACAAAGAAGGTCAAGTGCATCCTAGTGACTATGGGTACCCTGCCAAAATGTGTTCATGGGTCCTCTACCACCCGGAACACAAGATCCAGGATGCCCTCCAAGGCTCCCTCCAAAGCTCCCCCTACCTCCCAATCCAAGGCCTAGACTTGCAGTCAGTCTTGTGGCAAGTCTGGAACTCCAGGTGTCATGGCTATGATAACCCCCAAGACCTAGACATGTGGTTGCAGCAAGACCATCACTGCTGTCAAGGCACCCGCACCTGTACCAGCTCATAAGTCACCCAAGTTTTGTTTCATCACTGTCTGACCTTAATTTTCCCTTGTAGCACTTCTGTCTTTGAGTTCAGCAGTCCCTGCTGCAGCACTCAACCTGCCCATGCCGGATCTCCATGCCATGGCAATTGTGATTTGGGATGGCACAGCTCACATTGCCATTCTTGAGGCTCATGTGGCAGAGCAGGATGGTAAGATTGATACCCTGCAATGCCTCCATGAAGGCCTTAGGCACAAAATCATCAACCAGCACCCCACATTCCCACTTCCTGAACCTCTGGCCAATGCAACATCCTTGTTGCTTGATCAATCTGTCCCCATGTCCATGTCACCATCCACATCTGCACTCCCCCCTCTCATTGATCTCTCGATTGGAGAGATGATGCCCACACCCTCAAAATTTGAGGATGCCTCTGCCATTGAGGGCCTCCTGTTTGAGTACAACCAGGTTGTTCAACCAGAGGTTCCAGATATGTCTGGCAAAATTGTGGACCCAGGTGATCCAGGCAACCTGGTCCCAGAATATGATTCTTCCAATGACATGGATGTTGAGGTGAAGGTTGAAGCATCTTCTGAGGAGGTTGACATGGCTACATAATTGCATAGTGATATACATATGTACAAGTTTTTCAATGAATGTTACCTCTGCCAGTCCATTTATTCAATCACTGAGTCTCAAGTACTGAGTAGCAAAACCTGAAAGTTAGAAACAAACATCAAAACTCAAAACCTGACAGTCATAACAGTGTATGAGTTTCAAGTTTTGAGTCTTGAATCACTGAGTCCCGAGTCCCGAAACCCAAACATTGAACCCCTTATATTGAACCCCAAAACCCAAAACTCAAAACTTGTCAAAATGTATCAGTTTTGAGTTTTGAGTTTTGGGTTTTGTGGTTCAATATAAGGGGTTCAATGTTCAGGTTTCAGGACTCAGGACTCAGTGATTCTGTTAAGGTCGCATGCTCAAGGGGGTTGGATCACAAGGGCTTGGCCTCAGCTCGTATGCTGTGCCCCTTTCCCAAGTATGTGCCCTTAATTTCTGGGGGCTAGAACAGTTATCTGGAGTTTCTGGGATTTGACTAGGGCGGATAACAAACATCCGGATCTGAAATGTGAGATAAATATGACAGACATCCGGATGTTACTTGGGCAAGCAGATAAGACTAATCCAGACAAAGTCTGGACTAGAAACTATCAGAGGATAGACTACCTTAAGGTAGAGTCATAAATGTAGTCTAGGATGCAATCCTAAGACTTAGAATATGACAAGAGACTTATCTCAAGTCCAGAGGACACAGGAATGAGCAGGAACTAAGATGATATTCAAACTGGAGTATTTCTGAGAGTTACAGGAGGTTTATATACTGTAGGTATCATATAGGAATCAGTCAGCAAAAATAAAGGCTATGTATGAAGCATATGTAGAGTCTATTAGTAAGTAGGACAGATCACAAATAATGAACACCAGAAATGAAATGTATGTAACAGATCAATAATCAAAAGAGAAACATGGTTAACTGCAATCCGGAGACAGGGGCAGTCTAAATGGGGTTGGGCACTGATATAGGGATTGGATTCCAGAAGGGAGATAAAGATAGATCAGATCATTTGAGATCTGGATCTTGGATCCGGATATCCAGAAGTTTTGGACTTGGGACTTGGTGATTCGAGTCTCAAAACTCAAAACTCAAAACTCAAAATTCAGATATTGGTATGACTTTCAAGTATTGAATCACTGAGTCCCAAAGTCCAAGTACCAACACAACTTCGGGTGTCAGCATTCAGTATGCAGGACTCAGTGATTCAAGACTGGAAACTTGACAGTCATACAAATGTTTGAGTTTTGAGTTTTGAGTTTTGATGTTGGTGTTTTGAAGTTTTGGGTTTTGGGTTTTGATGGTTGGGGTTTGATGTTTGGGTTTCAGGACTCAGTACTCGCTGTGTTGACTTTGATTGATGTTGACAGGATCTGAGTCTGAATGTCATTGATGACTTGGATCAAAACTAGTGCAACAGCATTGCTCATATGTCCATATATTATACCAATACCTCGGCCCATACATCTAAATGATATGTATCTGGGCATACCTGTTTATCTAATATATCCTACATTGGCCCACCTGTATATATAATACATATTTCCCCACCCCATCAGCCCACCTGTCTATCTAATATACCCCCATGTCGGCCCACCCATCTATATAATATCTACCATACATCTCTCTTCAGCCCAGCTGTCTATAATATATGTCTATCCTACTCTACATATTGCCTGGATGGGCCCACCCATCTCCATTGGTAATAATATTTCTTCCAGCCCATCTGCCATTGTCGAGGATATTTATAACATCGGCATAGATGGGCCCACCTGTCAACATCGAGGATATACATAACATTGGCCCATAGTCCGCTGGCCCATCTTATATGGGATACTATGTAGGTCAGGTGACCCATATAATATGGAGTTTGTCACTGAAGGGGCTCTCTCCACCTGGATTGGATGAGGCACCAACATGACTGGAACCTTTTTGCAGGGCTTGGAGCTTGGAGCCCTGGGTTTAATGTTGTAAGGATAGCAGGGCATTAGGGCTCCATTTGACACAGAAATGACTTGCTAGAATTTCCAAGGAGAAGTTTAGAGGGTGTTGGTGATGAGTGATCAATTCCATGGAGGTTGCAAGTTGGCCCTGTGTGATATTGATGTGAAGCAGATGTTGTTGATGATCATATGTAGTCATGGTAACTGCGACTTGCTGGAATTTCCAACAAGAAGTCAAAGTGGTATTGGGTATGTGATGATGTTGGGAAGGAACAAGTGATGAGGACTAAATTAAGCAAACAAAATGAAACTAGTGGAAATTTCATTTCGGTTATCTATAGTTGCCAAATTGAGCTAAACAGTGGACTTCTAAGACAAATAATATACTATGACTTCAGGTACTTCCAAGACAGATGATAGGGAACTTCAATCAGAAAGTATGACTTGGATACATTGCAGCCATGGAACAGTCGTGTTTGATTAGAGTTTTAGAAAAGGCAGGCACAGTATTCAAACCTAAGACTTTGAAGATATCAAACACTTTGAGGATATCATTGCAGGTGTGACTTTGAAGACTTCAAAGCCATACTATGACTTCAGGGACTTCCAAGACAAACAACAGAGATCTCTGCAACTTTAGGGACTTTTAAGACAAAGGGACATTGGTATGATGAAGGGATCTGGTACCAGTATGATTGAGTTATTATCTAGTGTGCAAAGTATCCATCTGGGCAAAAAAGGAGTCCTCTATACATGGACCAAAGGGTGAACAGTGCTAAGCTACACAGAACCAAACTTGTCTTTCATCCATTTGGCAGTGATAGCATTCATTTTGACCTTTGGATCAGGTATGTTAGTGGTAAAGTATACTGGATCAATGCACTTGCTGTTGCCACATTTAGGCCTACAACTTGAAGGCCCTTAAGAGACTGCACCCAAGACAGCCCCATATATATTTGTCCTGAAACAGTATTTGTACATGAACTGAGAAGATTATGGTCAAGGCTTACCATCAGCAAATGACTGTTTACAATCAACAATGACTTTTCAAAGCCCAATTCCCAACTCTTGTGGATAGTCATGGCCCAACCTAATGAGAGGGGGATCTAAATGCATATCTAAATGGGTAAGCAATTGGAAAATAAGAGTTAGACCTGAAAGCATGTGGCCATATATTCTTTATTGCCTTTGACTGATTGAAACACAAAGTCCTCGTCAAGAATGAGAACATGTTCATGCATTGAGCTGATTTCAAACTTGACTAGGGAGGAAAGCATTTGTTTGTGGCCTCTGAGTGTGCAAACTGGACCTGGCAGTGCATGAATCAGGAGGCCATTGTTGTCAACTCTAATATTATGAATGGAATGTAAGGTTTGTGGCTTCTTGGCCCTCTGATCTGGTGGTAAAATGTGGTGTGAGTAATAGAAACCTAAGATGATCCCCATACTGCCATTAAAGAGACCTTTGACTATGTTTTTGCATAGGACAATGTATGCTCCAACTTTGAGCTGTATATCATAGCTTGACTGTTGATTCTGTCCAGCCTTTTGCTGTTGACTTGGTTGGCCAGCTTTAGCATACAATACAGACAGACAGTCTCCAGATGAGGTAGGTAGGATGCTGGGATTGGCATTTGTTGCTTGGCCAGCAGTGCTTGCAACTGGGGCATGATATTATTCATTCTGATTTCTTTGAGTATGTTGAGTAACCCTTGTATGATGGATTGTTAGTCATCAGTAGTTGTAGTTAGGACAAGTGTACCTTCTTCATTCTGCTGATATACAGTGGTTAACCTGATGTGATTTTATTTGAAGGCAGTGTCCCATGCCAGAGATTGGAAAGCAAATTGAACAGATTTGCCTCCCAATGGTATCAGAAGCAATTGGAGAAAATCACCTGACATTATGATCTATGAAATGAGTTAGAAGGATAGGGAGCAGTGCAAGTCTCCTATGCAGATTCCTCCAAAGGGGAGTTTAGTCTTGCACAAGTTTTGTGCAATAAAGTCTAACTGGGTCAAAAATATGAGGGTTATCATTGATACTGTGATCTATTAAACATGATGTGTCAAGCAATATCAGATGAGGTATATTTTTATTGACAATTAATACTTTGCATGCCAGCCACTGTGTTGAAGCAGTAGTAACTGGGAGACAGACATATTCCTTGAATTACAAGGAAAAGGTCCAAAAAGGGTGGCTAACAGGTATTGCAACATTGGATGTTGAGGTTGGCTTGGCAAATTTGAAGTTTGCATATGGCATTTGCACTGATTGGTCCATATACTTCCATGCTGTTTTAACTAGCCTAAGCAATATTTGTACTATGGAGGAGACAAGGCAGATGTTACTACCATTGGTAAGCATGAGTCCTGAAATAAAAATGCTAACCAATCCAGTGTTATGGTTGTATACAGTGTCTGCAATGGTATATTCTAGGTAGGTATGCACAGAGCAATTTGGTATCAAAGTGTCATAAATGTCTCAAGGCATGTAAGTAGTTCTTCCCTGCTGATAAGCTGCCCTGGATGCATTTGGCTGTTACTGCCATCTGTTTCCTTCTTGCAATACACCTTGGTTGCAGTCCTCATGTTCTTCCAGAAATATTTAATTGTAGTGTTTGCAATATCATGTGCTCATTTTTGCTTGCAATTTTTGAGTGCCAATGGCCACATATTTGTCGCACTCTAAGACCATCATACAAAGGGTGATGAGGCAGTGGCTATATAACTCTGGAAGTCATGTCACAGGTGCCCAACATCAAGTGATTCATAGATGAACGGACTAACACAACATAATATGCATGGTAGGTTGACAAACATTTTGATGAAATGTTGTGAGGGAGTATTCATGAACTTGGTTAGTGAGGGTCCTTCCTAGTGTGTGGTCAATGTAATGAGACAGTTCAGTTAAATGCATGAACTCGTAGTTGTAGAAGTGCCTGCCTGTTGCAAATGAGGCAACAGGTGTGTAAACTGCATGGAACTGCCCAGCAGGTTGTATACTCACACTTCTAAGTAACACTCAATATTATGTCAGGATGGACTCACAGTATATTGCCAGGCAAGAGAGTTACAATTTCACCATGCCAGTTCTCCTGGATATTTTCATGGTTTCAGTAAAGATCCACCAGTGTAAGGGCCATCTAGAAGAGGTTGGTATGAGTAACCATGTCCTCATTAATCAGCCTAAAAAGGCCTTATTTTTCTGGCCAGTTTTGATTTGGATAAAAATTGTGCCACCATCAGAGTTGTGATCAGGATTGATCCAATAGGTGGGCCTGTGGAGAAAAGCCTACAAACACACAGTGAAGTTGTCCAGGTGCACATTTTTATGGACAAGGCAGTCAACAGTAGATTGGTTCCATCCATTAATGATACCATGGTTGAGAGTGCTGAGGATAGACAGTTTACTGTTGTAATGACATACAAGAGTTATTTATGCACCTCACAAATGATGGGAGACTGCCTTATAAAAATGGGATGTTGAGTATACACTGGATCTTGTGAGGATTGTGTATATTGCTCATAAATTGCACAAGGGTGGTATGTTGGTGGGGATACATGAAATCCTTTGTTCATTGTTTGGCATCTGGTTATTGCATTATATCAAGTCAGAAAATAAAGGATTTCAACAGGCTCACTATGCACCATAACACACATAAGGTCAGACATACTGTGATCTTCAATATAATCCAAATCAAAGGTTGTGGGCTCAGGTGCACTGACTTGCTGGATGATGACAGCTTTACTGATGTGAAGCACTCACTGCAGAGATCTTGTCACATAACTGTCAACTTTTGGCACACCAGTCACTATACTGTAAGTCAATAACATTTTGTGACATCTTGGGGAGGGACTCTGGAAGCATCACAAAAAAAGACACTGCATTGGCGTCTTCTTGACATTTGTTGATGCTGTCCTTCATGATGCATGGAAGGACAGTGGTGGATCCATCACACCATTAAACTATTTCTGACTGTTTGTGAACTTGAGAGCCAATTATTGGCATGGAGAGATCATGAGAGTCCAGGTCAGTGAATACAGACAAGGCAGGTGAGGGGGATGTTTGGACATGTGGAGGGGAGGGCAAGTAGATGAGGGAGTCAGATGTGTCTGTCATCACTTCAATATCACACATTAGATGGGGAGTCCCAGCAACTATGGGGGCCTCTTGGTTCAGGAGGATGGGATTGATGGGGATGGGTCCATGCATAGAGTTAGATGGCCCATCAAGACTGGAAGGCATTTCAGCAGTGGGGATGGGGTCATGGGCAGAGTTAGATGGCCTAGCAATATTGGAAGATGCTTCAGTAGGTGAAGGCCAACACTGCTTTTGAGGAGGGTTACCTTGGGTGCTTGCATATGTGGTTTGTTGGGTCTTCTCTGTTTCTTTTCTTTTGCATTTTCTCCATGCCTGCTTATTTGTGGTGTTACACTCCTTGATCTGAAGGGCCCTAACTGGATCTGATTTCTCATTGGCAAGCCATTGTCTTATCCATTCACATTGCCTTTCCTCAGGAGTGAGGTCAGAGTGAGTGAGATTGGTGTGTTGAAGTCTTGGCTTCTTGATCATATTGTAATGTCAGCAAGGAATTTCCTCAGTAAGATATATGGAGACAGATTAAATGGAGACAGGTTAGAATTAGGCACAAGTTAATGTGTGGAGGTTGTGATAAGATGAGAGTTAGGGCCATGGTCAAACAAGAGTATGTATATTACTATGAGTGTCACAAAGTGGACAATTACATAAGATCATTAAAGATGATGAATTGTGGTATGTCTTGGAAGCCTTATTATGTCCTCAAACTCATGAGGACATATGCAACTTTGAGGCCATGGATGTGACTTTCAAAACTTTCAAGATGCATGTGTAACTTTAGACCTCAAAGACATAGTTGGAAGAGTTCAAAGAGTTCAAAGGCTTTGAGCACATCATATTTGGACATTTATTATTTGTGCGATGGGCACACTGTCTTCCCACATAAATTGAATAGATACACAGGAATTGATTGGAATGTCAAAGTGTGGGATACATGTGTGTGAGCAACTAGAGGGTGAACATATGCAAACTACTACTAAGGAAATGTATGAGATATGTCAATAGGTATTAATATGTTAATTAATTGTGAGACCAGTCCAGTGATGTGATTACTATGCATGCAATGATTATTCTTACAACTGGTGACATTCTGTGTCAATATGGCTGAAGATTTCCTTGCTTTGATTCTTTTAATATTTAAGGTTGGACTTCCACTGCTTGGTGGTGAGCAAGTACACAGATCCTGTGTGGATTTTCTCTAGCCTGCATTGGAACATTTGTTCACAGGAAAGGGTCCAATATCCTGTGTCCAGCCCAGATAAATCTTATAGCTGAGGATTGGACCACCATGCCAATGTGGTGGTTTGAGCACATCTGTCTGTGGACAAGGTTATGAGGGGGATACATCAGAGGAGTAGAAAAGAGGTGTACCTGTGTCAATGTAGTATATCCTGCATAGGATCTCAATCTCATGCTCACTTAATGTGTCATAGAGATATGTGTGGGATGAGACAGGGAATGGCAGGGTAGGTGACATGGAACAGCAGTTTGAACAGTATACTGCACTTGAATAAGTGGAGTATCATGCCCTCTGAGGATGGTCCCCATTGCTCCCTAATGCACTAAATGATGGAGGTGGCATTTCCGAGGAACAAGTTCCAAGTGCAAGCATATTTTGGAACAAGAGGGAGGACCAGGTAGCCAGGTAGACTCTTGTCCTTCACCTGCTTGACCTTGAAATATATGTTGCAGTTTAGGAGCTGCTGAGCATGCTTGGGATGTAAATCCCATAGGATTGAAGGTGGTTGAACCTCAAGTGTGAAAGAGGATATAAAGTACTGGATAGCAAATTCATTGCTGTGGTGTTGAAGTGGGAGATTGGCCTCCATGATGTATTTGCAAACAGTGTAGGTATCAATGATCTGGGAGTCTTTGATGTGCATAAAGTTGCTTGCAGACTGTATTTTGTCTTGTGTGCTGCAGAGCAGTCCACAACAGCTGTATAAAATGTCTTCCAGGTATGTAGAAAACAGCATGTCCTGCCCAGTAGTTGTTTGGTGCACCACAATTCTTCCCATCTTATTATGGTTGGATGGGAGGGTAGGGGGTTTGCTGAGTAGGGGAGCTGGCATTGCAAGAATTTCCTGCAATGGTTGGTCAAATTGTGTGTTATTGTGAAGTAAATCTCGGTCCTTGTCAAATAGGGAGCAGATGTCCCATTAGTTTGAGATTTTGTCATAGGTGAATTCCACCCAGTGTCTGGTCTTGAACTCCTTCTTGGCATCTTCAAGGTTGAGCTCTCTGCAGAACCTGCCTTGTTCCAAACAATACCATACAAAGAACCTTGTTCCATCTCTTTGAGTGGGTCTGATAGAATCAAGAGCAGCTTGAAGTCTTTTGTTGACCCATTCCTTTACAGTGTCAAATGCTCATGATGTGAATAGCTTGTGTGCTGATTTCCAGCCTTCAACAAGGGTGTTCCATTGATGAAGGCTGTCAGGGTTGAGATCAGAGAAGCCTGGCCAGAAGTTATCTGTGATGGTTTTGTTGATCATTGCACAGATTCAGAGCTGTTCTTCTGTGGAAGGAACAGCGAGATAGAAGGTGTGATTTTTGTAGTATTGGTATAAAATATGCCTTTTGTTAAGAACCATGCTCAAAGGAGAGAGAGACTGACTCAGAGGGGCTTGGCCTCAGCTTGTACGCTGTGCCCCTTACCCAAGTATGTGCCCTTCATTTCAGAGGAAGTCTAATGATGGTCTGATGAAGTCTGGAGGACTTCCAGAGGAGCGTGGGAGAGTTCCAGAGGAATGCAGGAAATGCTCAGGAGAGTTCCTGCTGCAAGGTAATACTTCTACTGGAAAACAGGATGGAAGGATAGGAGGTCTGGAGGTATGGAGGGCGGAACGTCTGAAGGTACGGAGGGCGGAACGTCTGAAGGTATGGAGGGCGGAACGTCTGAAGGTACGGAGGGCGGAACGTCTGAAGGTACGGAGGGCGGAACGTCTGAAGGTACGGAGGGCGGAACGTCTGAAGGTACGGAGGGCGGAACGTCTGAAGGACAGGATGCCCAGAGATATGAGGGACAGGAGGTCCAGAGGTCCAGAAGGAATAGGGGCTACATTGGACAAAGTCCAATGTAGAAGCAAACAGAGGTAGACTACCCTAAGATAGAGTAGGAGGGACAGGAAGTCCAGAAAGAGGGTAAGTGCTAGAAAAGCAAGACTCCAGCCTAGGGAAGCAATCCCTAGACTTGGGACAGAGACATAGGGGACAAATCCGAAGGTCTGGAATTCTGGCCTGGGGAATCCTTCCCTAGGCCTTATGGAAAAGGACGAGACTCAGACGGACTGAAGTCCAGAAGATGATTGGCAAGTAGAACAGGATCTAAGATGATATTCAGACTGAGGACTCTACTGTAGTTGTACAGGGGTCATATACTAGAGGCTATCCAAGAGGATCAGTAAGCAAAGGAGTAAGGCTATGTATGAGCATGTGGAAACACATTGGTAAGTAAGATGGAACATAAGTAAATGAACTCGGAGATGAAACTAGTACAAGGATCAATCAGCAAGATGGAAACAGAGATAACCAAGAACCAGAAAGGTGGAGATGCCTAAATGGGGATAGGCGCAGGATCTCGGACAGAGGGTGGGAATAGGTCCGGAGATAGTACAGTTAATATCCGGAGGTCCAGAGATCTGGGGATCCAGAAGGCAGGGCAGAAACAGGACTGAGGGTAGTGGATGTAGTCTGGAATCCAAGAGGAGGTAAAGTCCGGATGTCTTGCTGGACAGAATGTGTGTAGGGTGGACAGGATAGGGGATCCAGGAATGAGTTGGATATGGGGTCCAGAAACAGGTCTGGAAAGCGTGGGAATATGATGGGATCTATGTCTGGCATACGGGATATGACACCTTTCAACATTCCTATCTTGACCAATACAGGAACATGTATGCAGTTGAGATAAGGGTATAGTATCCAAAGTGCTGAGAATTGGGGGTCAAAGACAACACTGACACATCTGCCAAGCACCTCCAGTTGTAGTGCATCAAGGATATCATATATGTGGGTCTCACTGAGACAAGATTGAATGAGAGTACAAGAGGGAGAAAGTGGGCATTAAGGGTCTGCATAGTTGGCAGTTTTGTATTGTACAAGAGCACACCCATAGAACCAGTTGATGAGCCCTATGAGACTGTGGCACATATTGCAGTAACCTATCTCTGTATTATACAAGTGAATGGATGTGCATAATATCCCATATGATACAGGCCAGCAGACCATGGGTTGAAGGTAAAGATATCCTCAACTATGACAGATGAGCCAGAAGGGATATTATTCCCAATGGAGGTGGGTGGGCCCATGTGGGGAATATGTAGAGTAGATGAGTGGGCCAATGGACATGAATATTCTATAGATGGATGGTCCAAGGTAGTTGGATATTATGTAGATGGGTGTACCAACATACAGTGGCTCAAAAAACTGTCCGCATGTTTTGACATTTTTCACTATCTATGATATTGTGTGAGAATGAACAAATGCCTCAAGGACATGGTTATACCACATTGTAGTATGGCTTCAGGGCTTTCATTTGAGCCCTACACCGTGGGAATCGGTGGAGATATGGTGGAGATACAAGGCTCACAAAATGGTGACTCATGCGGACAGTTTTTTGACTCAAGTATTTTACAATAATAACCAGGTATTCTAGTATTTTGTATGACCTCCCTTGGCTTTAATTACTGCCTCTATCCTTCTAGGCATACTCTCAATTAATTTCTGGCAATCCTCAGCTGTGATCTTTCCCCATTCCACTGCTACTCTCTCCCAAAGCTCCTATACTCCTTTAGGGGGGTTTTCATAGGCTTGAAGCTTTTTCTTGAGTGTTCCCCAGAGATGTTCAATGACATTGACATCAGGAGACTGTGCTGGCCAGTCAAGAACATTGATGTTATGTTCTTCAAATCATTCCTTAGCTCTTCTGGATGTGTGCTTGGGATCATTATCCTGTTGGAAAATGATATCTTCTTCATCAATCCCTGATTCTGCCAAGCTAGGCAGCAAGTGGTCATTTAAAATGTCCACATACTGCTCAGCATTCATCTTCCCCTCAACCTCAGCAAGCATTCCCACACCATTCCATCCCATATAGCCCTATAGTTTTAATATACACTCAAAAAACTGTCCACATGAGTCATCATTTTATAAGCCTTATGTCTCCACCATATCTCCACCGATTCCCACGGTGTAGGGCTCAAATGAAAGCCCTGAAACCATACTACAATGTGGTATAACCATGTCCTTGAGGCATTTGTTCATTCTCACACAATATCATAGATAGTGAAAAATGTCAAAACATGCGGACAGTTTGTTGAGCCACTGTAGATGTGTATCAGATAGACAGGTATGCCAAGGGTACTTGTTATCACATACACAGGCGGGCCCAGATGTATATTATATTAGATGGGTGGGCCAAAGGTAACAATATGTTATATTAGACAGGTAGGCCAAGGGTGGTATATAATATAGACAGGTGGGCCCAGGTGAATGATAATTGTAACATGACAGAGCTTAGATAGTTGTATATCATCCAAATCAAAGGAGGTAATAATTCAAAGTCAGAGCATGGGAGAGTTCCAGAGGAGTACAGGAAATACTCAGAGGAGTTCCCACTGCACAGAAAGTGGAAAGACCCCAAGGTAATATCTCTACAGGAAACAGGACAGAAGGATAGGAGGTCTGGAGGACAGGAGGACAGGAGGACTGAACATCCAGAGGTCCAGAAGGGATAGGGGCTACATCAGACAAAGTCCAATATAGAAACAAACAGAGGTAGACTACCCTAAGGTAGAGTTGGAGAGACAGGAATTGGACCTAAGTCCAGAAAGAGGGTAAGTGCCAGAAAGGCAAGGCTCCAGCCTATGGAATCAATCCCTAGGCCTGATGAATAGGACAGAACTTAGGTGGACCAGGGTCCAGGAGAAGATTGGGCAAGTCTAAGTTGATATTCAGACTGAGGACTCTACAAGAGTTGTACAGGGATTATATGCTAGAGGATATCCGAGAGGATCAGATAGCAATGGAGTCAGGCTATGTACAAGCATGTGGAAACATATTAGTAAGTGAGATGGAACATAAGTAAATGAACTCAGAAATGAAACTAGTACAAAGATCAATCAGCAAGATGGAAACAGAGGTAACTGAGAACAGAAAGGGGGAGATGCCTAAATGGGGTTGCACACAGGATTCAGACAGAGGGTGGGAATAAGTCCAGAGATCTGGAAGGCAAGGCAGAAACAGGACTGAGATATGTGAGGTGGTGGATGTAATCTGGAATCTGAGAGGAGATAGAGTCTGGATGTCTTGCTGGATGGAATGTGCATATGGTGGGCAGGATAGGGGTGTACAGATTGGGCTAGTAGTGAAGATCCAGAGGTCCAGAGCTCAGGGGTAAATCCATAGTGGAGCTAATCCTGCTGAGGTGTGGAGCACACAGTGGAAGGGGATCTGGGCATGAGTCAGATGTGGGGTCTGGAAATAGGCCCAGAAGGCGTGGGAATATTATAAGATCTATGTCCAGCATACAGGATATGACAGTATGCAACATGTGAATTTTTCACTACACAAATCACCAAGTATCAAGTGCTGAGACTCAAAACCCAAAACTCAAGAATCACAAACCAAACACCAAATCTTGAAAAAATGTATATAACATGAAATTTTTTTATTTCATTACACAATTCACTGAGTGTCAAGTGCCAAAACCTGAAACCCAAAGTCCCAAGCCTGAAACTCAAGACTTGAGTCTTGAGTTTTGGGCTTTGGGTTTTGGGTTTTGGCATTTGACAAAGTGAATTGTGCAATGAAATAAAAAAACTTCATGTTATATACATTTTCTTGAGATTCAGTTTGTGGTGTTCAGTTTTTGAGTTTCAGGTTTCAGCACTCAACAACCAGTGAATTGTGTAATGAAATAAAAAATGTCATGTTATATACATTTTTTTGAGATTTGGTGTTTGGTTTTTGGTTTTCAAGTCTCAAGTTTCAGGCTTTGTGTTTTGAGCCTCAAGTTTTGGGTTTTGGGTGTTTGGGTTTTGGGTGTCCAGGTTTTGAGACTTGGTGATTTATGGTAAATGAAAAATGGATATGTTGCACACTAGGTTTTGGTTTTTGGGCTTTTGGGCTTTGGTACTCAGTAATCGGTGAATGTCAGACATGGAGTATTCAGGTTTTTGGGCTTTGGGCTTTGGTGGTTGATGGTAGGTATATGCACTCATATAGTGGGTAAGTACTCCATGTGCTTGATTCTCTGGTGCCTACATCAGCACACTGATTCATATGTTATCCAACTATCTTAGCCTAGTTATGTTTATTGCACTCATTTACCTGGGCCCACCCAACATGAAACTTCAGGTGTCGGCATTTGGTACTTGGCATAGTGAAGAGTTTCAAGTTTTGATGTTTGAGTTTCAGGTTTCAGTACTTGGTACTCAGTGATTTGAGACTCGAAACTTGAAACTCATAAAAATGTTTAAGTTTTGAGTGTTGAGTTTCAAAGTTTGTTTTGATATTTGAGTTTTGGGTGTCGGGTTTCAGTACTTGGTGAATGTCAGACATGGTGTATTCAGGCTTTCAGGTTTTGGGTTTCCATGGTTGATGGTAGGTATATGCACCTGTATATATAATAAATATTTCACTGCCCCATTGGCCCACCCATCTATATAATAATATCTGCCATACATCTCTCTTCAGCCCAGCTGTCTATAATATATATCTATCCTACTCTACATATTACCCAGATGGCCCCACTCATGAATATATCCAGCCATCCGCATCATTAAGGATATTATAACATTGGCATAGATGGGCCCACCCATCAACATCAAGGATATACATAACATCAGCCCATAGTCCACTGGCCTGTCTTATATGGGATATTATGTAGGTCAGGTGACCCATACCCATATAATACAGAGTTTGTCACTGAAGGGGCTCACTATGGAATGCAAGTCTTGATTTCTGTGCACACCAAACAGCATGGGACTGCTTCTTGTGGATGTGAAGGTAGCTGTAGGAGGAGGGAAGGGGTAGCATGGAGAACTCCAAGGGGAGTATGGAGTCCATGCTGAAGATAGAGGTGGTGTGGTGTAGCATGTCCTCTAGCCATTTCCAGCTGGCTTTTTGTCCAGTAGACGGAGTGTGTGAAGTGCCAGAACCAATGATCTGGATGGTAGTGAGGCACTGGAAGAGTGGGCCTGTATATTTTAGTTCTGAGTTGTTTGGGGTGGCAGTAACCTGGATATGGCAAGAGAGGTAGGATCACAGTTAGAATATGGTCTCAATGTTGGGATTATCATGAGTGAAATCTGGTTTGATTTGCTAAGGGAATGGGCACACAGTTTGCATGGCTGAAAAGAGGATCCAGTCTACCTCCTTTAAGCAGAAATAGTTTCTGTCCTTTGGGAATGAGCTGCAATACATGTGAGCATGTTAGTGGTGGGCAGAGAAGTTGCTGCTTACTATGAAGGAGGTGTGAGTAATGACAAGCCTCCTTGAATGGCAAGGAGATTTGGATGCCATGAGATAGCACTGGAAGGTTGTGTGGAGGACATGGAGCTGGGTAGGATTACAAGAGAAGATTAAGGGTGAGGAAGTGTACAAGTGTGTCCACTTGGAATTTCCAAGTAGAGGCCAAAGATACGTAGACCACAGACAATGAATCTGTGATCTGAGGAAATGAAGGTTTGAGTGTGGCTTCTATATTTAAGGACTTATGCAACATCACATGCATGACTTAGGTGACTTGTTGTGAGTAAATTTATGATGCATTGCTTATGAGTAAGTTTACAACATAGGTATAAAGTCATGAAATCCTGGGACATTATGCTATATATTACAAGCAACAGCAAGCAAATGCTAATTTTGAATACAGAACAAATTATGAGTGCAATTCTGACCTACATATACCTGCAAGGGAAAATGACCCAAATCTAACAACCTCCAACTAACAGTACAGGGGCTATAGGGGCTACAAGTACATGGTGCATGAGAGAGTTACTATTGAGAATAAATTGCAGGGTTTTCTATCTGTGCTGGAGTTCCTAGAGTGGTTGCAAGGACGTCATGTGAGCAGCTGCTTCCTGTGTTGTGACTGCCCAATCTATGGTCCAAAGTTGTGAGGCTGATTAAAAAAATGCATGAATAAGGTCATATAATCAGGGGTATCCTAAGCTGAGGATGGTGTCATTAGTGGAAGGTGTGTATAACCAGGTGCTAAATGAGTGAATGGAATCTGTGATTTCATCAGTATAGTGCATGCCAAGGAGATTGAAGACAATTTGGGTGATTGCAGGTATGGTAAAGACAAGGTAGGGGATGCCCAGCCAAAAGTCTTGGAGTGAATTATTGTCACAAGCCAAGACAGGGTGCTTGAACCTTCTGTACCCACCACATGAGGAGCACAAGATACATTTGTTAATGTAACAATGTATTGTCTTGCAGTAGTGTCTGAGGTAGAAGTTGGTGTTAACAAGGTTGCAGGTGTGTAGATCTGTATGGGGCTTGAGAAGAGGGAGTGAGAACAATAATCTGTGGAGAGCACAAACCACCCATAGTCATTCAGATAGGATTTGAGGATGACAATCTTCTCGTTGATATCACTGGGCAAGGGAGTAGGGGAGAGGTGTGTGGTGGGGGATTCCAGTGATACACACTTCTTTTTGAGTGGGGTTTCAGTGTCTCCAAGAGGGCAGTTAGGACAGGAGCCACGTATGAAGAAAAGGGGTCTTCTAGTGGCCTCTTTTGCAGGGTGATGCAGTGAGCAGGTGCATCACCATGGAGAGGTTTGATCTTTGTACTGTTAATTAGTGTAGAGGGAAGGCACGAGAGGTCAACTTACATTAATGTGGGTGAGGATATGCATATGGAGGGCAGCAGGAAGGTCTATGAAGGGGCAAGTTACAAAGGGACAATAATAGCACTTCTTAGACATTGGCTTGGCAGTTAGTAAGGTTCCTATGAAGTCATTAAGTGAAAGGTTGAGAACAGTGACAGGGTTACTTGCCAAGAAAATTGATTTTCAAGCATGGGTCCTCATTATGGATGAGATGATGTCTTTCAATTTCATTTGACTGCTTGCCACAGAAAACATATGATTGAAGGCAGTTTGGTGGGAAAGGGATTTGCTAGTTAAAAGCATTGTTGAGTATACAGGTGAAAAGGGGTGGTGAGTGAATATGCATCCCTCACAAATTTTGCAAGGAAGGTCAGGGTGGGTTGTGAGTACTTGAGTTTTGGGTTCTCTTATATGGATTATCAGAATCACATGTCAGGAATTGCAGAATGGTGAAAATAGGCATACCTGAAGTGCCAATGACTAGCTGAGAAGTTAGGAATCAAGAACAGAAGATGTGACTTTGAATATATTCAGTGACTGGTCCATTGCCTATTGAAACATTTTACCTTGGGGCAAAGCCTCAGGTCCCCAACATAGCTTTGATTCCTCTCATGACAGTTCTTCCATTACCAGTACATGGGTGGACAAATAAAAAACAAAAACATGGAAGCATGAACCCATTTGTGAGCATTAATATATCTATGATCAAGTGTTAGCCATCTCCACATCATCAGTAATATTGGGTTGAACATCCTCCATGTGAACATTGTCCAATTGATCCAGTGGAATAGGTTCAATGTAAAATGTAATCATGAAAGAGTGACATTGTGGAATTTTGTCTGCATCCTTGGGTTTGTGCTTGATCCATGCTTGTAATGATCTAGTAGAGGCCAAGTGAGTAGGATCAACTAGCAAGTCTCATTGCTATCTTTTGTAGATAGGGGTTTGTGGGTTGGCCATCAATGATAACCTTGCTGTTGTGAATAACTGCTATGACTGTTGGGAGGATGAATGGGAATTGGGTGCCATAAGGGCATGATAGGTGATTGCTCAGAGATCCTGAATGTAGAGAAGGGTGCATGCAAGGTTCTTGAAAGGGTACCTAGCACTTGTAACAGTACACCCAGTATGTGGTATCTTTGCATTTGATGGATAGGAGGAGTAATATGACCTTGCTATAGAGAGAAGGAGTGACTTCAGCATGAGAGTGGTGTAATATATGATGCCCCTATCTTTCTCCTGGAGGATGATTGAGTGATGAGTTTCAATGACCTTTTCCTTGAGCTGTGGGGCAGATACCAAGATAACAGAGTAGCTGATGTTACATATAACATGTATGAGTGATTGTGGGATCTGCATCTGCAAGCACAATCTGGGTAAAGAGATAGGGGACATTATGGCTGAGAGAAATGTTATGGGTTTAGTTAAGGTAGTGATAAGATGAAACAGTTTGAAACAGTTGCAGTAGTTGTCTGAGGTGAAAATGTGATGGGCTTCATTAATGAAGACACACATAAGCCTTTGTTTAACAGATTGTACTCAATGAAAGAAGTCATCTGTCCCTGCCTAATCAGCAGATACAATCACAATCTGAGCTGTTAAGACATTCTGGATGTGGGGATGCTGGCCTCCCTCAATACATATAATGACCAACTATCATGCCATATCCTCTATTCAATGCCACAAGGGGTGTTATAACCATGAAGAGTGTGCAAGGGTGAATCAAGGGAGTCACAAAAAATGCTAGACTCTTGCCACTACCAGGGTTAGCAGGGACAGCATGAATGATTGGACTGTCAGACCTTGGTAGGGTTTGTGAACACCTTGTATTTTGGAAAAGAATGAGAGGTGTTTTGTAAGGTGGTTGAGAAGGCAATCTTTGTAAATATTGAACCCATTCTCCTGAAAGTTGAATATTGAAGTGTTTTGATCTGATTGCTAGAGTCAGTCTAGGAACCACTTATCCAAGTCAGGAGGATTGGTGTGTTGGTCAATGTAATCCAGAATGTCTTGCCATGGACAACCACAGAATAAGGAGTCCATCATCTCCTTCAGATCAAGGAGGGATGATTCAATCAAGGCCCTACATTTGTTGAGCAGAAGCACAAACCTGTCAATGGACAGAACAGTCATTTCAGGGTTCCACCTGAACCTTAGAAGGCCAGGTTCTGTGTAAGATAGGGTTGACAGAAATGCCATCTTTTGATGAAGGCAGGTAAACAGTACCTGGTTGCCATTGATGAGATAAGGGCAGACAAGGGCAAGATAAGTCCTGAGAGAACAATGTAAGTAAATGGTATGATACATAGAGACAGTGAATACATACTTGAATGAGTTGTCATTGAATTACCCTATTTTCATATAAATCTTTGTACCAGCCATTGCCCTGAAGTACCACTGGGCCTTGCTGATTGTGGGGGGGTACTTGGCATACATGATTGGTATTCCCAAAATTGTCAGAGAGGTGATAGGTAGTGAGGAATAGCATAAATAGGTCTTTCATCTCATTTGTCAAGAACTCTGGACTGACATGAGTGAGGAGGGAAAATATAACTTCATGTACTGAGTTGATAGAAAGTAAGTTGATAGTAGGTGAGCATTTGGAGATCATGATTTGCAATTGGGCATGAAGTGTGGTGAGGTTGGCAGTATGTTGCGGATGTAAAGGAACATTGAAGTTTTTAATAGAGTGGTAGAGATGATGAATTTGGTGAGGAAGGTGCCATATTTTTTCAAGAGTTGGATCTTCCTGGGGGCATTGAAATGGTGCTTTCTCCAATTCACCTGATGGACTGGTGAATAACAGTGCACAGAGAGTAAGGGTTGACAGACAAATGAGGTTAGCTGCAATGTTCTGGTAATATTGTTGCATGACCTTGATGGGGTACAGAAAGTCTGGCTTGCCATCAGGGTTAGACACAGTTTGCCTGAGGGTCTTGAGGTCTATGTTCTCAATACAGTGTTCCCAGTTAGTTTGAGCGAGAAGAAGACCCCTGGGTCTCTGATTCAATGAGCAGTGGTTAATTTCTTTTGCATGGAGACTATGTTCAGTGACAAAAGCCTAGATTTCTCTTAGAGCATCTTTTTTGGATCCAAGAGAAAGTGGGTTGAATTTGAAATAGCACAAATCACCTCTAAATGTCCCAATCTGGTGACCAATGGTTTGATGGTGTGTGCAATGTGACAACAGAATACTGTTGTGTTCCTACACACAATGGCTGTGAAGGCATTTTTTGGTTTTAAAGGGAGCATGGCTGGTGCAGCCTGACACAGTACATTTGAAAAGACCTAGGATGATTTTCATGCCATCAATGGTGAATACTGGGGCATTTGGGATGTGATTTGGTGTATAAGCTTTTAATTGATGAAGGATGGTGTTAAAGTAATTTTTTGGCAGGAGATATACTTGTTTATGATGCCTGTGACAATGGCCCCACATTTTGTACCATGGGATGGCAATGGCACAGTCCAGACAAATAGTCCAATGGAAGACAGGATCAACATGAATGCTACATTGGAGAATGCAGGCAAGTGGGTTAGCAAGGTCAGATGGTGAATTGAGGTCCATGGGTGTCATCAGCTTGCCATTGTCATCTGTGTCTGATTGATCTTCATCTGATTGATCTGCATTTGGGTCACTGTTAGATTTGAAGCACTCATCATCTGTTTGATTGATCTTTGGTTTGCATTCAGGGGTAGAGTGGTTGACATTGAGGAGTGTGTCACCTTTGAATGAATGAGTGAGGGAAAATGTGTTGCCATGTGTGGAGGTTACTTTGAGTGGTATATGTATGCGAGCATGAAAAGCTGCATGTATGGAAGTGGTTGGGAGATTGGTGGCTGGAGAGGTGTTGTTGGAGCATGAATGCTGGCCATTAGGTAGTGTCTCATCAGATGAGCATAGACCATGGGATAGTTCATTGTCATTGTCCTTGTCTTCTGTTGCACCACCATTGGTACCCTTGTTGAACTTGAGCTCACCAAGTGTGTCTAATGTGGAGAGGGATGTGTAAGTTGTGTTAAGTGTGTTGCGATGGCTGACTTATAGTAACCGTCATCAGCAGAATCCATTGGAACATCAGCAGCTAGGAGAGATTCATGATCAGGTAATGCAACTTTGTCTATGGAGCCAGGGTGCATGATTTTTTTCATGAGGCTTTCAAAGAGGTGTGAGTCAACATGAGTATGTGAAGGCAACCTGCATGGACAGTGGAGTTGCCCTTGAGAAGTTCTGGATACAACCCCTGGAAAACAGTGAGTGTATGCTATCAGATCATTATAGTATTATGTACATTTCTGGCCTTCCTACATAACAGTGACATTACTGTGGTACTGAGTTTGATGAGTCTTCTGTTTAGCTTTGGATTTCAGCCAGAGATAGGGTACTGGATGGTTGGAGACCTTGCATGAATTGCATAACCATCAATTAAGGCAAATAAGCAAATGATGCAGGTGTATGGGGGCCCATTGAAGTAAAGAATCTTCAGCTGGGTCGGGTGTGGGTGAAAAGATGAGCATAGCAATATTGCCAATAGACATGACAGAGGCATGTGGTGGGCAGTGTTGTCAGTGATACAACACTTGCAAATTTCACACAGAAGGTAGGATGAGAACAGGTAATCCTCTTCAAAATTATGAGTTAAGGTGGTGTGATGATCACATTCCCACTAGGCTTGCAATGGCCATCTTTTGATATAGGTGATGGAAAGGTAGCCCTTATATCACTCATCACTCCCCTATATGTGGCCTTCATTAGTTTTAGCTACAAACCATTGTCTACTTCTTAGGCCACGCTTTCCTGTGATGCCTATGTGCAACATGCATTGCTATTCATGTTCCCACACCTTAACCCACACATTTCCCACACCTCACACACTGTCAGTTCACCTGGTAAAGTGTTTTAGGTACATCAGTACACAACCACTCTGCATTAACTGCCTTTCCTGCACTCAACCTGCTCTGGACATGTATTCCTGTACATTCACTACTGTGCTGCATGCATACCTGTGGTCGATTTCCCACACCTTCAGATTACCTTACAGATGTCCTGCATCAGTCCATTGTCCACCCTACCTCATTGGTATGTATTTTGCCTTGCCTCATGTGTTGTAACAGGTGTTGCAGTCTTATTACATGTCTTTACATATTCCTACTGCCAGTCTGTCCTGTCCCTTCTGTTTCTAAGAGGGTTTAGCTAGTATAAAGTGCCTAGAGTGACTACTTTGTATTTACTTCCCTTAGGTTTTACTTAGGAGCAGTCACCATTAGTATGTGCCTTGTAGCCCCTATTAGTTACCTTATACCTGGATACCTTGTCTTGACTTTCCTTACCTGTGCAATCAATACCCTTGCCCTCACTTGTTACCTGTGCCATTCCTTAAGACTTCCCTACCCCTTACCCTGGCATTACACACTTCTGCATCAACCACTCATTGACTGCTTATTGACTGCACTTTCACATTCCCATGCTCTACATACCTGTGCACTGCACACTTTCAGGTCTTTAGTATCATCGGCCATTCTCAGTAGCAATTTCCTTTAGGGTTGAATGTTCTTGCTTGCAAGTGTAGCAGCTAGGCAGAGCATCAACCTACAACAATATTTTTGGTTAGGCACTTTATCTAGTGTCTAGCCATTATTGTGTTTGCACAGCAGTACCCTAACTAAGCTCACTGAAGTTGACAGTGTGGTCAATGATACATCCCTCACAAATTTCACAAGGAGGGTAGCCGCACAACAGGTGATCTGGTGCCAAGTACAGTAGGCATTATTATTGGAAGTCCATCAAACATGGCAGTTTGATATTCTATAGGATGCTCTGGCAGTCTTTCCCACAATCCAGGGATCTCTTGTTTTTCTGCCCAACCATGCTAATCTTTCATGGTTGGATTAGTCTCTTTTTTAACCTATAAAAAATCAATTGCAGACTTACTGTATGTCTGAGGATCATCTATGAGCACACTCATCATATAAGATTTATGATGATGATTCATAGATCTGCAGTAATACATGTAAGCCAGAAAGAAGTTTATAACAGGTAACATTCACTGTGCATTTTGCACCCCAGGCTAGTCAAACAAATATCTATTGCTGACCTCCTGAATAAACTCCTCTCTTATTTTTCTTAGCACCAAGAGTTCCCTTCCAAAGGCCTCATACCTGAGCTGTATCATGTCCCAATGAGATGAAGACCCCAGATGCTGGAACAGTTCTTACAGACAAATGATAATGTGGTTAAGAAACCTCAAGCCATTCTTGTAATGAGCAGGAATTGTGACAATAAGTTCATAGTTGTGAAATGGCTCATAAGATCTGGTGTCTGGGATAAATTTTCCAAGATGATAACTTGAAAGGGCAGACAAGTTCAAATGAGCAGGACTTGAATCATGCCACCACTTGTCAAAGTGTTGAAGATAGAAGTAGTGATTGACAGCCATGGAGTTGTAGTAGAGATGTAATATAAGGATTGACCAGACAAGCTGACCAAATTGCCAGATCCATAGGATGACTAAATTTTGCCTGATTTGGGTAATTATGATTTATAATGAAGCAAGATAGAGCAGTCAAATTATGATCTGCAGCAACTTCAGAGACTTGATGAAGTGTGCAGAAAATAATTATGGCTAGTGAACAGAATGGCTCTGATTAAACATCTGCAAACTCTTTGGTCAACTCCAAGATCCTGCTTCATTCCTGCATTCTGATATCATAGTCAGGAAGAGTAAGATCTGTCTGGCTGGTCCTATATTTCCTATGGGATTCTCTAGGTTCCACCATGATGATGTCAAGGTTGGGCAGTGAGTGAGCAAAAAATGCTGTCATGGTAAAAGAACTGTGAGGTAGTGAGAATCTAACCTGCAATGTGGTAATGAAGGTGTTGATATCAGCAGATTCTATCTTGTGATTTCCTAAAGTGCAGCAAAAGAGAAGACTGAGTAACTTCATGTGAGGGCAGTGGCATAGAATAAGAGACATACCCCATAGAGTGGCCCTTGGAAGTTCCTCCCAAAATGGCTTTGTGCCTAACAAAAGGCATTGAAAATAAGACAAGCTGAGGGCCAGATTTAGCAAGACATTGTTATTAATCCTGCAAGTTCCCATATCCTCCAGTTCCAGAGCAGTCAGATAGGTTAGTCTATGCAGAGCATTCAATCCATTTCTGGGAATTTGGAGACTCTCTTCATCCAACACAAAAAAATTCTCATCCCATGGCATTTTTAATCTGAGACTTGTCAGATCCTCCCAAGCTAGGAATCTATCATCATTATCAATTGGTGTCAGTGATGTGAGAGTATTGAAAAAATGCAGAACATCTACTGAGTAATATTCTTGATGGATGTTGATGCTAAGACCTTGTCAGGTGATATGAGAGCTGGAAAACCAGTTTTGGCAGATGAGGATTCCATGTTATTTGAAGGACTTGGATCAGATTCTAC